CAGGGTATCAGCCATCTGCCTCACACCGCGCAGCCGAGGTTACGTGACCATCCAGTCCGTGGACCCTGAGCAAAAGCCCATAATGCAGCCCAACTACTTCTTCGAAGAACACGAGCTTAACGTAATAGCCGACGCCGCCAGGATCGCGTACAGGCTTGCTAATACTACGGTAAATGTTTGACTTTTTATCGAATGTTACGCGAATCCAATCAGCGTAATAATATACTACGGTGTCCCAAAATTAGCAGTGTTCGTGTGACGTGCAAATTTTAGGACACCCTGTATAGCAATGCGGATCAAAATGGCGAATGTTATCAAGTATAGGTGTTAGAACTAATAATTATACCATTGTAGATTCGGTTTGGAGAAACTTTGGATAAACTGTTGATTTAATCTGTAACCTATAGAATGTTCCATCAACTGGTAGTGCCTGATAGAAAAATCCATTTTTAGCTTGCTTTTTACTATAAGTTTACACAAGAACCAGTTCTGCACTACCCGTATCTAAATATATTTTTGTAAATAACTTGAAAAAACCGAACTGCCTAAGGTGGGAATCGAACCTACGACCTTACGCTTGCCGGGCTACTGCTCTTCCATCTGAGCTTCTTAGACACTGGATGAACCCGTCGAATTTTTCAAGTGTACGCTGTTACCGTATCTAGATTTTTTCAAAAGGCGCGTAAGTTCCTACTCTAAACCCATTCCATCATTGACAGATAATGCGTGAAAAGTACGGCATGAAGCCTTCAGAAGGGTACGGCGAGAAAGAATGCGGGGAAGGGGGTGACAATCCATCGGACGAGTTCTTCAAATGCCTGGCGATGCACTACACCGCGCCGGAGAATCACCAGGCCGGCACGTGCAAGATGGGACCGGACTCCGATCCGATGGCTGTAGTGGATATGCAGCTTAAGGTTCATGGAATTGAAGGTAAATAAATGTTTATTTGCTTCTGGTAAATTGGAGGTCGTGCTTTTGCATAGGTGACTAAATAAAGTGATGATGAAGTATTTAGTAAGCTCTTCTAGAAGAGGCGTAAAACCAAGACATTAACTAAATTAAGTAGGAAATATGGAGATCTTTACTAATTTCTGTTCGTACAATTGTAGGTACAAATTGAAAGCTTCTAAAGTATTTTATTATTATTTCAGGTCTCAGAGTAGCAGATGCATCAATCATGCCAACTGTTGTGACTTGTAAGTATTTGTGAAGTTCATCATATCATCATAGTAGGAAATGTTTTTGTATAAGTACGTGAGTACGTACACATACACGTGTACGGACGCTCCCGTAGGCATGGGTGCGAATACGCCGTTACCGAACTATAGTTACGAATATATTATACTTATTTATTGGTCCTTTCTTCTCTACATCCTTTTTTAAATCCTAATTATTTTCCCAGCGAACACTGCAGCACCAACTGTGATGATAGCAGAGCGCGCGTCCGAGTTCATAACGACTCGGTACCAGCTCGTCAAGAAGCGCCCCATAGATGGGCTNAAACAAATATATTTTTCTCGACAATCCTGCTAGGTGTAAGCGTCTAATAAGTACAATAATTTATGCCACTAATAAGGTTTTAAATGGCATAAGTTTTGTAGCTGTACAAAGAACTTAGTACCTGTACCAACCCTTCATACAAAGTGGTTGTTCAACCATGAAAGTGATTTTTTTATTGTCCTGTGTGCCGGTATGCACAATACTAAATCTCTTCATATCTTATCTTGATCACGTTCACAGTGTCAGCACATTTATCACGTACTAGCTTTCCGCCCGCGGCTTCGCCCGCGTGGATTTTTGTCTGTCACAGAAAAACTTTATCGCGCGCGTCCTAGTTTCAAAAACCGGGATAAAAACTATCCTATGTTCTTTCCCGGGACTCAAACTATCTCTATGCCAAATTTCATCAAAATCGGTTGCGAGGTTTAAGCGGGAAAGCGTAACAGACAGACAGACAGACAGACAGAGTTACTTTCGCATTTATAATATTAGTTGGGATAGTGCTGATGCTGTGACGTCATTTACCTTTAATCTATATCGTATAAATAGTCACGCAGTTCGTGTTCATAAACAGATTAATATCAGAGACTAACTACAACTCTTGTATCATTCATACGGTCTCCCAACATGGCACAAATTGGTGACCCCGACGAAGAAGACGACCCCGACGAAGAAGATGAACCAAACGAAGATGGCACAAATTGGTGACCCCGACGAAGAAGATGAACCTGACGGAGATGGCACAAATTGCTGACACCAACGAAGTCGAAGAAGCCGACGGAGCCGACGATGAACCCAACAACGAAGTCGACGAACGACGACGAAGATAAACGTACTAAACCAACGTAATGTGAGACGTAACCTCCATCACCACCATCTTCGGCATCAGCCTTCGCCATCCACATCATCTCTGACATGGCATCAAATTGGTTACCCGATTGAGCAGAGAAAATCCGTGACGTCATCAACATACATCACCGTCAACATGTCAACTCCGTGCAAGTCGTGCAACACAACACCACGAGAAGTCGCTGCCAGTACCCCTGTCACATCCGTATTCCCGATTTCTGAAAGGAATTCCCGTCTGTACAGCTGGAATCAGTCTTGGAACTTCAAAAGAATCAAATCGCTAATAAAATATTAGAGAATGCAAAAATAATGAAGTCTCAGCAGTTCAACAGTCAACTACAACATCAGCAAAATTCAAGACCAAACAATGGAAAATGTGCTAACACAGCTATAACATGTGCAATTGAAATAATAATTGTGCCATGACCGTGAAAATTTGCGACGCAGCAGTTACAGGCCAAGGTCGCCTAGTCAAGTAAGAAGATTTTGTTATTATAATATGTATCAACGTACACAGAAAAATGAGAAAAATCATGTGATTGGAAACAAACGAACCAAGGAAACTAAAAATCGCACAGCCAGCACGGCTTCTGTGCTATCTACCCGTCTAACCGCCTTATTTTTACCGACTGAAAAAGTGGTATGAGGTTTTTTAATCGTTACGGGAACAATGTAAAAGTGATAAGCAACAATGCTAAATGAGCAATATGTTATATACCACGAATGGTTTAAAGATAAACACTTACGATGAGAAAACGCTGACTCTTAACTTGGGAATTCAATCATTTAGAAAAATGTGAGTCCCTCCAGAGCGAATATTTCTTAGGTTATCCGATAACGAGCCAAGGAATCGCCCCGAACTATAGTTACGAATATATTATACTTATTTATTGGTCCTTTCTTCTCTACATCCTTTTTTAAATCCTAATTATTTTCGCAGCGAACACTGCAGCACCAACTGTGATGATAGCCGAGCGCGCATCCGAGTTCATAACGACTCGGTACCAGCTCGTCAAGAAGCGCCCCATAGATGGGCTGAATAATCGCTTCGGAGATTCCGACGGTAGCGGGACGACCAGCAACGAAGGGTAAGAATAATTCTAATTCAAATATCTGCCTATAACAAGCATTTGGCCAACAGATAGATCCCTTGCAAAAACTTTTAAGACCTTTTTTAATCGACTGCAAAAAAGGAGGAGGCTCTCAATTCAAGTGTATGTTTTTGTTATGCTCAATCGCCTCTTTAAGAGCTAAAGCACAAATTGGCGTCTGGGAGTTCTTGTAAGTTTGTCTATTGAGAGGCCGTTATCAAGCATTTATAAAACTTATTAGGTAGTTTTTAGTCGCTGTAAAATATATTGAAATAACCATACATATCAAGTAGTTAGTTCAATGTTTGATGTTTAACTATCTTACTAAAATTATTAACAATGACATATTTATCCATAGATTGACCTTCTAACAACCTAAATACTAACTTTCTTTCTTGAACACACGTACTTTCCAGAAAGCAGCATTATTCTGTGACCATCGAAAAAATCCAACTCCGTACACTAACACCCGCCGAGATACAAAAGGTTTAAATTACAGTACAATCGGCTTCCAACGCTACTCAATATTTAATGGCAAAACTGACATCTTATTCAACACAACAAAACTGTAAAACGTCACAACACAAATCTTTTAACAAAATTGAGATGCTATCGCGGTCGAAATTCGCACTCGCAACATAATAATATGCGTTCGTTCACCATACATAAATGCACACCATTGCACACATACCGAATCAGTTTATGAAGTATGAAAAAAAAAAACTGATTTTAAAGGACGTTTTATGTACCAATCTTAGCAATTCAATATACATATCATGATTACCTACTGTGTCAGCAACAAACACCGAACTCCACAGCTTGCTCACACATCTACATATTTTTGAGCACAAATTATAGCACCCTATGTATATGACTAAAATATGTGCACTATCAATACTATCACACTAAATTATATTTGATTATTTTATGATTATGTTCTCAAGTTATTAAAGACTTCCTAATCTTGTATGATTATGGTTAAATATCATATTTAACTTATTTAAACCAACAGGTTTGGCAGCGGTAACTACGCCAGCAACGAAGCCAAAGATGACAGAATCACCGACAACCAAACGAAAGGCCAGGACAGATGGGACCACCGATGGAAGCCCTGGGACAGAGACTGGACGCAGTGGGACAAGCCCGTCTCACACAACGTAGATTGGAACAAAAAACGCGGGGACTACCCTCACATAGGTTATAATTCTAGGTAGAAAGATTTAAGTGATGCATTTAGGTTAAGAAATAAATTGTTCAAGTATATTACTTGTTGGAATTGCGTTTTTGGACTTTATTACTTACCCATAAATAATACTGTCATTTGATTTCCCAATTCACTAATGACCATTTTACCAATCTAATATGCATAAGTAAAAGTGAGTAAGGAATATAATTATGATACTAGCGACCCGCTCCGGCTTCGCATGGGTGCTAAGTATACTTAAATAGAGCGATGCTCTATTGATTAAAAAAAACCGCATCAAATTCCGTTGCGTTGTTTTAGGAACAGTCAGCAGAAGGCGACTTTGTTACTATTTAGTGAAGAAAAGGACAAAATTCTACTTAAATCAAATGTATTATCGTTTAACTTAAATATAATATGGGCACTTTATCCAATTGGCACTAAATGTTACAATCCCTTCACTATTTCTTTTTACCATTGCGTTTGTTCTTTGGTTTTTCTATAACGGGCTCGGGTTCCGATTCGGATCTGTAAAGATGTGTTGTTTTTGTAAGTGATATTATGTATGTATAATTGACCTATTGACGAAAAAAGGTGAATTGAAGAGTGATACAAAACAAAATACAATCGATATGCTAAAGTTTTCATGACAACTTTTTCTTCTATGAGAAAAGGAGATGTCAATAAAATATATCCGTCTCTCCTACTCGAAAAAGTATCGCTCCTCTGACGTAATTGAATAGATTGGTGACGTCGTGAAAGTGAAGGAACTAATAATACGACTAAAGAAGGGTTTTGTTTCTTATCGACATAAATAATGACAATCAATATCTCACGAACAGCTGAAGTACTTACTCGTCGCTGGCGTCCGGTGTTTCAGGAATGGTGACGTTGCCTTTCGACACTTGCTTGCTGTCCATGAGTTCACTTGAGTCGTTCAGGACGGATTGTTCCTGTAAAAACAAAACTTAAAGTAAACCCTTTGTTACTGGCACTATAGCTTTAGATTTATTATGATCGCCTTTAATATTTATAGCTCGCCTTCAAGTCGTAGATCTGTTGAATTATAGACATAAATATCTGACATAGCCCGACGGATTAGCAAGCTGAAGTGGCAATGGGCAGGGCACATAGTACGCAGAACTGACGGCCGATGTGACAGCAAGGTTCTAGAATGGAGGACTCGTACCGGGAAACGCAACGTGGGACGTCCACAAGGTGTACCGACGATATCGTAAAGGTAGCAGGGAAGCGCTGGACGCAGGCCGCTATACCAATCGATCAACATGGAAAGCATTGGGAGAGGCCTATGGCTGAAATGATGATGATGGATATATCATATCATGCGCTATTAAAAAGATGACCAAATATGAGCTATGTTTAGAGGCTCATACGTATACTATGATTTGTAGTCAGTGAGGACATTTAGTGGTATTTTTTTCAACTTTTGTGATTATCAACACAGGACTCTGTGTAAAATTACTTACGATTTCCTTCTCGTAGACGATAGTGTGTAGTTCGGTCTCGTTCGCAGAATCCTCGAACACAGAATTCTGGGAGCTGTCCATACTGCTGCGAGCGGATTCCGTAGACGCGCGGGTTACTGGTCTCGTTGGTTGTGGCGCTTTCGCTTCTGCCGCTTTACCTGAAATTATTGACAAATAAATAAAACATAACTATATATTTTTCGCACACTCACTGCGGGCGCGCGTCGCACAGTCGCGACAGCAACATAATTACGCGCGAGCGATAGGGATGGGTAGCTTGGGGTCATTGGACGGGAGTCTACGTGCTCACGGACCAGGCTTTAACATGACTCATCGTCAGCAACTGAACATGAACAAATATCAGCTGGGCTCGTCCCCAAAGTCCTGCCACGATATCCATTGACCGATCTATGCATCCCTGTCACTCACACCTAAAGTATGGGAGTTAGAGTAGTCCAGCGATTAGGCGCACTTAAAATAGATGAAAAGGTGTCCTAAGCTTGTTCATACTTTCAGGAAGTGTAAATAGCTTACTTCGAAAACTACTGACCAAGTCTGAGTCTATGGTTATTAGAAACGCTGTCTATAGCAAAATTGCACAAACGATCAGTATCTAACTAAACCAAGTAAAAATCCTATGAACTAAGATATACAGGGTGTTAGGTAAATGGGTATATGAGCCGACATCTTCTTTTTAATTATTTTAATTTTCATACAAATCGGATTTTATTAGATTTATTTTGTATGAAAATAAAAAAAAAAGATGATATCAAATTTCTGACTTCACCATACCATTTATATGACCATGTTAACATGGGCTAGTGTCGGCTCATATACCCATTTACCTAACACCCTGTATAGCTAGACTCTAGTCCTACCTTTAACTTTTCGCTTCGGTTCTTCCTTCTTCGTTCGGCTCTTGGTGGATCCATTAGACTCCGTGCTCGAGGCAGACTGTAGGCCCCTCGTGGATTTCCGTATGGTCACGTTTGAGACATCTAGGTCGAGTGGCGGAGATTGCAATGACTCGTTTGGCGAACTGTCTTTTTTGTCCTTTGCTGCGTCAGCTTTTGCTTTTAGGGCTGGAGAGTAGAAAAAATGTTTATGAGATGTGACTCATATAAATATAAAGTAGAGACATCTTCTGGACAAGCTCACTCTACCATAGATCGCAACTACACGCTTTGCAAGAGATTTTTATCCAGAGTATTTAAAAAAATAGATAAATTATATGATACAGTGCGCGAAAAATCAGCATTTCTACAGCAATGACGTAGTTTTTGGCTTTTTTGTAAATTCACAATAAGACTCGAGTAACTGTTTATACATACTCGTGTTAGGCCAACCAAAAACATGAAATAATCAACCTATATACGACAGTGTTGTGTGCTACATACCTCTATCAATATCCACCAAAGACCGTTGCGATCGGCTTCTCTTGACGCCGCCCTTTTCATTGTCCGGTTGGGCCTTCGCTTTGCCTTTAGGCTCTTTGCCCTTTTTAGTACCCTTCGTGCTGTCTGTGCTAGCTTGTTTATTGATTGACAGTTTCTTTTTCTTGCCTGTAACAAACACAAATGGAGTCACTCAGTTGCTATACTCACATACTTTATTAATGAATAAATCTCTGGTTCTATCAGAGCCTATTTGTATTAAACAAACTTTAGGACATTGAATGCTTGAATCAAATTGACTATCCGAAAAGAAATACTATTTCGTGCTTCTGAAGGCACATTCGGTCATTGAGACATGTCAGACACTTATGATAGCTTACAATTTCAGGCAAGGGTTTAGGTGCTATTATATTTTACCCATACGACAGAAGATCAATGAAGAACAAGAACTTTATTCCAAACTCTGTACTAAAACGGAAAGCTAGGATAACAATTTTCTTTATTTTCTTGTTTAGTGTACAATAAAGTGTTTATCTATAAACCTATTTACATTTTGCCTCAATAGATTGTGTAGAAAGAACTTACTTTTAGTAACTTTAGGCTTCTTTAAAGGCGACACTCCGCTGCTGCTGGAATCTGAAGGAGCGTCGTCTACTTTGTCGCTCGTCTCAATTTCCGAGGACGGTCGGTTTGATTTAGGGCTGCTTGTCTCTACTGGTGGTTGCTCTGTCAACGGAGACATTAATAATAATAAATGTTTATTTCAGAAATAACTTTCCATACTGGGTTAGTAGTTACATTAATTAATTTTCACACAAACTGCCAACCTACGTCAGGTTTGCGTCATCGTACCTACAAAGTAAGTGCTACATCTCAAAGTGAAAATGGTGTTTAAGATCCACTAACAAAACACTTCATAAAGTAACCAATTAATTAATTTTGACAAATTATTTCCTATTTTGAGCTCCAAGCTGAGCTCTGAATGTGTATGGACTAATGTTTGCAAGATACGTTACCTTCTTTCTTAACCTGTCTACACATCGTGAGGAATTTAGGGCAATTATTCCTTTTTGTGGACATATGGATGTCCTATGGCTGAAATGATGATGATGATGATTCCTTTTTGTCTCTGGTAAATTAATGTCCTCCACCTGAAGTGGACACTGAATGACCTGATGATTATGATAATGATTAATATAATTATATTACCTTCAATCCTGGACACAGTTTCTGGAGGCGTGGTCTCGTCAATCTCTACTTCTTCTTCGACGGTTTCGTTGATGACGACGTGGGTGCTACGCGCGAGTGGTTGCGCTATAAAATGATCATTTGTTAATCGTAATGTTATTTTGATTAAATAAAATAAAAGTTACACTAACAACAGCTAAACGACTATACATAATAATAAGTAAGCAATAGATATAGGAACAGAACTGAGCAAAGTGATGATGTAGATGTATTTTACAATCTAGTAATAACTACGTTAAATACGACACACTGAATGAACCATTTGAGATTATATTAACCGAACATACTTGCACACAGCTTGAAAAATAAGCTAGACGGTCGACTAAATCGGAGACTTGATAATCTTTCTCCTAAACAAAAATAGGAAATATAAGTATTTCAATATGCTTCTTTATTTGGCTGACCTGTTAAAAAAAACTATAATACGGTGTTAATAATATAAGTTTTTTAACTTACGCAAGGAAGTCGTTGCTCGTCCTATGGGACCTATGGTGTCTTCGCCTTGCATTGTTCCTTCAGTAATACCTGGTAAAGAAGCAACATAATATAATGTTAATATTTTTATATCGATTTTAGACACATACATCGGTAGTGTTCGTCAATATACAGGGTGTTGATGTCAATCCTCACCATATTAATTTAGGTGATCTATTATGATTTATATAAACGCATTATCCACAAAAAAAAATACAAACGAAAGTGGAATTTTTAGCGAATATTTTCCGTGCGACATCAACTGTATTGTGGCTCGCAATACTGCAATACGTTTACACTGCGGCACCATCGAGCTAGGCGAATTGCTTGCTTATTATGTCGGATAGCCTACTGAAGTAAGCCACGTAAAGTAGGTAGTTTAAATAGGTATTATTCTTTGACTAAGTAAAGTTAAAGTTCGTTTTAATTTTCGAAGTCATTTTTTTACTGATTCGTGATCAGAATAAGCTACTTATTCAACGCCCTAAATATGAAGAGGATTGAAATCAACATCCTGTATTAAAAAGTACATGTAAATTATGTTCAATTCACCTGTATTCGACATCTTGTTGAGACTTGCCCGCTCCATAGCCTCTAGAGAGCCTAAGTAGCGGGTAAGGTTTCGGCAAGATTGCTTGTCGGGAAGTTTCTGTGAAATTAAACAAGAAATTATAAAAATATATACAAACATTTAACATAACCAGTTATTATGATAGTATCAAACATCACAAACACACTCAAATATCGCAGCATAGTCGCCGGTTTTATCCCAGTTGGTCGTAGCTCTAGCTAGGAAACTCTATAGTCATAAGATTAGTAGGTCATACACATCACTACTCTGACTACCTTACTATGGATATACCGGAAGCCCGCTTCTATGAGCGCGAGCATTGCAGTCACACTTTAGTTAAACACCTAATTTATACAATGTTCTTGTAGTGTAGAGTATCACAGCGCTGTGAGTACCATACTGTACTTATACCGGTAGTAAAGGTCCTACCGGTAAACCGGTAAACTTACCGCACACAAGTCTCTCAGCATAGCTGCCAGTTCGATCGCGAGTTGTCCGTCCCTAGGCGGCGACAGAAGAGCGAGCATTCTGCATGCCAATCCCACTTCAGTCGACGAAGGCCTCCGCACTATGTAGTTGCATAGTGTCATTGCCATTACACCTTGGCTGTCGATGACCTAGAAAGAATTCCAGTCTTATTTATACCTGTATTTAAGTAACACACTCAAAACTCTATTTAAACTCACACATACATTGTCTTGTGATTAAGCTACAATACTGAATCATAGCCTTGAATTTGTTCTTGAGTAAGAATCATGTTTTGTGTGTTGTTTTGTTTATGGCTATAACTAGCATTTGCCCGCGGCTTCACCCGCGTGAAATTTAGTTTTTCACAGATCGTCATAAACCATAGCCTATATGTTATTCTGTGTTATAAACAATAATACTGTACAGTTTCATCAAAATCCGTTCAGTAGTTTTTTCGTGAAAGAGTAACAAACATCCAGACATCCAAATCCATACAAACTTTAGCATTTATAAAATTAGTAGGATAAAGTAGGTATAGTTTGTGATCTCAGTCACAAAAGCTCACATGATATAAGAAAATAAAGACTTACTTCGTGATTAACCCTAGTCAGCGACACGATGAAATGAACCACTGCCTTTTGTTGTTACAAAAACCTACACTATAGTAAAGGACTTTCGCCTTAATACCCAGTTACATAAGACTTACTTCGTGGTTGACGCGAGTGAGCGACACGATGAAGCGAACCACTGCCTCTTGGTCGATTTCAGCAAGCGGCGAACTCGAGGGAGCGTTGGCTAAGGCACGCAGTGTGGGCAGTGTTGCTTTCTAGAAATTAATAGATTTAAAATATTTTTTATTTTTGTTAAAACATGGCAGAAAGTGTGACGGTAAAAATAAGATACAAGCACTCTTTCGTCTGGTATGGCATGCAATTTTCAAATAGGACACATGGGACATTCAAATCATCACATGACATGGAGTTTTTTTTGACCCGCGAAGACGCAAACGCATTGTCCTGTACTCCTTCTTACAAACTACGTCACAAGCATAGTCCCAAGTATGTGGCACGCCACCTGACGGTATGAAGGAGGATATCTTTAAGCTAATAAAAGATTTAAGAAAATGTAACTCATACTTACTTGTATCTGCTCCTGTGCACCATCGACTGTAGTAGGGAAAGTTTGGAAGAACACGCCTATAGTTTGCCGCAGCATGTCTTCTTCGACTAAAAAAAATATTTAAAAACTCATGATATATTGGTTAAAGATATGCAAGAGATTTTTCATGGGATACCACTATTTACCCCTAAGGCCCGGTTTCCACCAAGACGGAGCGGAGCAGATGTTTTTTTTTTTAAATAACCAATCCCATTTCACTTCATCTTCTCCGCTCCGCACAGCTCCACTCTGCGTCACGCTGCTGCCGCTGTTAATTTCTATAGAAAAATTCGTCCGCCCGACTCTTCTCCGCTCCGCCTAGCCTTGGTGAAAACCGGGCCTATTAGGCTCATCCCAGAGATAGAGGATAGCACTGGGAGTGATAAGAGGCGTTAACAGCGGAAGAATTTGGAACCTTTCATTAATATTTATTACTTATGCTTTTGGTAAGAAAACAGGTTTTCAGAATAGTGAGTTTACGAAAGTTTAACTGAATAAGCTTCAGCCAAACCAACGCGTGCAGATCGATGGCGATGGCGAAGGAGAGGCGATCACTGCGCGTGCATAGATCGCCGCGACCAATGACAGGACGCGTTGATGTGAACTCATCGCTACAAATTCACACACAACATTTGATCGACATCGCGCACGCAAGTTGCACGCGTTGTTTTGGCCGAATTTTAACACATACCTGTAGCAGGATTGAACCAAAGCAACATAAGGCGGCTGAGTATCGCCGGGGACTCCAGATGGCCAAGGTGTAGCAAACGGCATAGACCTTCCACTATTATCAGCCGGTACGTTGCGCACTGAAATTGCGTACTTATGTAAGTAATCATTAAGGTACACATTACCTTAACATTTGGCATTTATAAAAAAAGGAACGATCAACAACGGTTTTTTGTCTATTAATGCCTCCAGTGGTCAAAATTGAATAAAATATTTATTATACCACCATATTAGGCGCTTGGTAATAAAAGAGACATGAAAACATACTTTAAGAGCGATTTCTTACTGCATCTAGTCTGGAGTAGCACAAGTATAAATTGGTTTAAGATTTGGAAATACTTCCAAGTGTACAGGAAGCAGTAAATAATCACCCTTATTATTTTAAATTGTACTATTTAAAAAGAAGAAAAAGACTTACCGTGCTGTCCATTATTTTCAATAGTAGTTCGATGACGGTACTGTGAGTTGGTGTCAGTGATATCACAGATTCGGATATACTACCTGTAAAAATTTTATATCAATCATCTCACAAATCGCAAAAACGCACTTATTACAACTGCGTAAGATGCCATTACATGATACACCGAGCAGATAAAATTTCGTAGAATGACCTCAAGCTACCCATTCTTATCCACCAGACTTTACTAGATATCACCTACTCACCATCCTCATCGATCGCGTCTATAGAGTGAGAGTACGTGCTTCGCTTGCTCTTCGCTTTCGACTCGTCTGGGCGCTGCGACTCAGACGCGTCGTCTTCGAAAACCTTCGCACCGTGCACGCAAAGGAGATCCACTATGCACTTGAGTACTGTTGTCACGATTGGCTCGTTTGACGTGTCTATTAGCTGTGGAGAAATTATTACTGTAGGTCTAGGTAAGATACGCGCCGTGGTAAGCTTTTATCGATTTCAACGCGATAAGCCCATACATTTGTCGTCTAAAATCATCGATAAGATTTTATCACGGCTCGTATCCTCGCCCGGTTGGTGACTTTTAACCTTTAACTATGGACGTGAAAAAATAATCACACTCCCATGGACGTCGGGTCTCACAGACCCCTATCTAAAATTCTTCTTATTTTCATATCTGAATTAATTTAAATTTATTAAAGAGTTGATATATATCTAATAACTATTAATAAAGGATTTAGTGGTAAATGTAATCAAATTTTAACCATCATTTAATAATTTTTTTGCAAATTTAAAAAACTTTGTCATTTTTCAGTGTTAATTGACTTGCCATCACATATAGGCTCCTCGATTACAGTCAATTATTAAGAAATGAAAGTAATATTTTTTTCCTTGCTAATTAATAATCATGTAACATAAAAACATGAACAAAATTTCTGAAGGACATAAATTAAAAATTTTGACAAGGGTTAAAGTTACTAAAATTATATACAGTGGCCTAGAACACTAAAAACAAATTATCTCTACAGGCATGTGTCATCTTTCTTTGAGAGCTTTGATAGACAAAACGTACACCATTCAGAATCGGAATCTGCAGCAATGGTGAATTCTAAGACATCTAAACTCAAAAGAAGAATCGTCTACAAGTAATACCTTACTCCTAAAATGTTCTTTAGATAGTTGGGCTAATAATATAGCTGATGTACTCAGATACTTTCTGCCATTAAGTATTCTTAAACTAGATCAATTTACATAGCCCTTTCGGACCCGCGCTTAAACTAGAAAGAAATTTGTAATTTTGAAGATGAATTTTAGGTAATTTGGGGCCGCAGATTACGAATCTACTATAATTTTCCAGATTTTCCGCCGCCATCTTGGAAAATTCATATACCAACAATTGTATCAAACTGGGCCCTTCACTTTCCACGTACAATTGTGAGGGTCAAAATTGTAAGGGTTTTGGAAATTTTATCAATGGCATGTATTCCGAAAAAAGTATTTAGAACCAGTAAGGAATAAAGAGGTTTAATTTTTATACCAGTATTTCCCATTTAATCTTGATTTGTGGGCAAACCATCTGTTCCATGAGCTCAACAGTAAATATAGCGCTCGAAATATTCCTATGGAGTTTTAATATCTCCTGGATCAAGAACAGCATCTCCTGGAAGATGTTGACGATTGAAGGGCTTCGTTTGCTATGCCGCTTGCATACTCAGAGGTATGTATCGTCATGAATGTCTGAGCCTTCATCAGAAGAAGAGGAGTAGTTCATCTGAAGTAGCCGAAACTAGCTTTTTTCGTTGTCATCGCTCTCATCCCCAGATGCATTGAGCATCTCTGCGATAGTAGCGTTGTTTAAAATCGGAAACATGGTGCGAAAACCATGAAAAATTAATATTTATGAGAAACTAAAAATACGCATAAGTTATTGTTGGGCCCACGTCAATACAATTGTGTCAGTAAAGTTCGTTAAGCCGTTACGCCAAAGTCTTTGCTTACAAGTAGTCACTGTTATCACAAAAAGATGCTATTTTTATCTATTTGTCTAATCAATAACTTGTATATTACTACAATTACATAATAAAACCATAGTAGGTACTTTTTTTCGCCAAGTCGGGGAGCGCAATCAGTCATGAACTGTACAGGTTGTAACCTGCTCACCAACTGCGCTTCGGACAAAATTTGCACGGGAGGTGAAAGAATGCATCCCGCACAATCGTACGATACTCAGCCCATCCACTTCCGATGTAAAACTAAAGAGATAATCTCGATTTTGTAACCCGCACAATTGTATTGGAGCGGTCCGAAAGGGTTAAGATTATAATAATATAATATAAAAAAAATATAGTTGACAAGTCACATCCATACAAGTATGTTTGTATGGAAATTATAGTCATCGGGTCTCCCAGGCCCGGACAAAATTTTGGATGGTTATTACTCGCGTAATAAGTGCCGGAAGATGCGATTTTATGCTTCCTCGGTCCAAACACAGTTAAAACTGAAGCTACTGAGATGGTCGAGAGCAGCACGTGGCGGGAAGGTGTTTAAACCGAGAAATCGGAAAGGGGGGTGGGCCTCTGAGACCCGACGTCCATAGTTAAAGGTTAAGGTTATTGGAATGTAAATCTTATTACAGCGGAATAAATTACGAAGAGTTTTTAGTGCTCGTGTCTAAAACATTCACATTGGTACTGTGCGTAGTGCAGTTTTTAAGTGTATTTTTGCTACTTTTTTGTAGTAAGAAATAGCGGGAGGCTCGACTTATCGATTAATATCGAACAAAACTAGAAAACTTTGAAAATGGTACTCACATTAGCAAAGAAGAAAGCTTTGTTTTCTTTCGCAAACTCCTTATCGAGCATACCAAATAACGCCACGGTTTCTAGAGCATTATCTAGCACTTCTGGGTTTTGGAATATTTCCACCTGTAAGTATAATAAATATTTTTTATTTGAAAGCATGCAGAGAGACTGCACAGTTCAGAGAAGAGCTCAACTGTTTGATATGCAAAATATAATCGATGTCGTGGACATATGGTGCACTATTCTATTGTTTAAATCAAGTCAATTACTTTTCAAGATATTAGTTACCTCAGGCCAATCAAATATACATCGAATGCCCACTGCATTAGGATCTCTTTTCATTGAATTAATTTAAATGCTTCTAAAGTTACGTCCACTCTCATACGTTTTGTATCTGAAATATCTATACTTGCCTCCAATTCGTTAAATATCATCCTTAACATTGGAGTCACGGTCTTGAGTTGAGGAGTGTCTAACGCACTGTTGAGTATCGTTAGGCATTTGTTTAAGGTTTCTGCGTCAGACACTTTTTCCATTATTGTCTGAAATACATACAAAAATGGTTAGATTGATCATTGAAATCTGAAGTCTTAAATCAAAGGGACTGACGCCACCATAATTATCTTTAGTTATATTTGCAAGATTAAAACAAATGAATTAGCGTAAGAATCATCAACATCAGCCCATGCGTTTGGTGTATAGTGTCACAAAACGTCCACTGCTGGACAAAGGCCTCCCCCAAGGATTTCCATCAAGGTCCTGTGCTGCCCGCATCCAGGCTCTTCCCGCGACCTTCACCAGATCGTCGGTCCACCTAGTGGGAGGCCTGCCCACGCTACGTCTTCCGGCCCGCGGTCGCCACTCGTGTTTTTCATTTATTAAGTTTTTTTTACTTACTGGTATTGGGGCTGGAGGTGGCGGTGTTGGTTGAACGTTCAGATCTTCCAACTTCTTTTGGATGTCTTCCACCTAAAACATTATTATATTCAATGTTATTAAATTCGTGGCAATCAAATATGTAAATAATAATAAAGAAAATAGTTTGTTTGTTACCTTAGCTTTACATTCGGCGGCGAGAGCATAATTTTGGTCTCTGACAGCTTCTTCCTGAGCTTCCATGGCTACGTTTAGGGATACACGAAGCCTGGCGCGCTAAAAACACACAATTATTTATTTATTTATATTGGTATTGACTTTAAAAATACAGGGTTTAGGGAGTCGAGCGCAAATTATTAAATATTGCATTAGTTAAAGCCCGGTCGCCGAACACGTAGAATTTCGTCCAATGACCCCAAGCTACCCATCCTTATCGCTCGCGCGTAATTATATTGCTGTCCCGACTCTGCGACGGGCGGCCACCGTGAGTGTGCGAGCGAGTCATTGGACGAAGTTCTACGTGCTTGGCGACCGGACTACTTCGCTGCATGATTTTGAAATTAAAACTGTCACTAATGTATCTAGGGGCCTTTGATCCTTTCAGACAGTTCTGGCTCTAGCTGGACTGATTCTGAGTGAACAGTTCTCATAGAATTGTATCACTAAAATCGCTTACGATAGTAATATCCACCCAAAAACTTCTGTAGGTTGGTATTAAACTGTGCAACATAAAAGTTTCATCTCAAAAAGAAATTAAGAAAATTAAAAAACATAACTTCTGATGGGTTAATCTTTCGCTTTCTTACCTGGAGTTTAACTTCAGCGCAGTCCACAGGCGGCGGAGGCGCAGCAATCGTTTCTGGTTCGGGCGGGTCTCGCAGGGCCGATATCATGCCGTTGATGATTTCTAATCGGAGCGCCAGGTCTGGCACCACCATTTCGAGGGCTGATACGAACGCGCGTATGACGTCAGAGCTGAGCGGGCCGTAGTCACCTAGCGAAAGAAAGATAGAACCTTTTAGAAGGACATAACAGTATCTGGTTTGGGATGGTCTCTCAGCGCCGATATCATAGATTTTATACTTATAAGCTATTGCGATGAATGTGCAATGTCACAACAAACATTTTTATGTTTAGTGATATAAGAAATGTTAGATTATAAGCCTAACCTTGTAATTAAATTAAATAAATAAATAAATGTCATTGATAATCTCTAATCGGAGCGCCAGGTCTGGCACCACCATCTCGAGGGCTGATACGAACGCGCGTATGACGTCAGAGCTGAGCGGGCCGTAGTCACCTAGCGAAATAGATAGAGGATTCTAGAACCAGCTGGTAAGACACGAACATGCGTATGACGTCAGAGCTGAGCGGGCCGTAGTCACCTAGCGAAAGGTAAAAGAGTATTCTAGAAACTAGTAATGCCAATATACGGGACTATTCCCACCTCTCGTTCCCACCACTGCAACTCCTGTGTAGCCAGGATCTACAGCTTGACCGCCACAAAAACCCAACCAATGAAGGTCAAGTTTGTCCCGGGGGAAAGTTAAACTGTCATTGGACCCGCAACGAAATTAATCAGAAGAACATAGGAGGAGTTCGAAATTAAGGTTCGACTTCCCTCCATTGCAAAGCGGATGACAGGTGACAGTAATGCCAATATGTCATAATATATCTTAACATCCATATTGGTTAAGGCAGGTCTCTCAGAGCCGATATCATGCCGTTGATGATTTCCAGCCGAAGTGCCAGGTCAGGTACAACCATCTCGAGAGCTGATACGAACGCGCGTATGACGTCAGAGCTGAGCGGGCCGTAGTCACCTAGCAAAGGGTAAATTTATTTATTTATTAAAGGGAAAGATAGACTTCATTGGTGCGCTGGGCCAGTACAGTAATGGGAACACAACACTCTTCTAGAAGATAATGTAAAATGCGACTATGCCAGACAAATATGCCATCAGGCATCCTCAACTCGTCAGGTCACCATAGGGAGTATAGGCCAATTCTTCCTTTTGCCTGCCTCTCTCTGGTATATTAGAGAGAATCGTTTTTCTGGAGTGGAGAGTAATGACCTGTAAGCCTAGTCTGCGCGCCATAATAAACTTTTATCGATTCACGTGATAAGCCCATATATTTGTCGTCTAAGGTCATCGATAAGATTTTATCACGGCGCGCATCCTAGCCCGGCTATTGATGATTCACATAACACTCACCAGTGAGCGCTTGAGTGTCGGCCGCGTCGTACACTCTGAGCATGCTCACGAGCTCGTGCAATATGTGCTGGCGAGTACTGAACCTTACATGGGGTGGACAGGCGGATTACCCTTTGAGTGGCTATTAGTACCTGCTACTGTAAAGCCTTAAGCACCTGTAGCTTCTTGAATTACCCCAATGCTGTTATATAGGAATGACGTAATAAGAACACAGGCTTAAGGTTACCCAAAGGGGCGATGGAGCGTGCTAGGCTCGGAGTTTCCCTGCGTGATCAAATCAGAAATGAGGAGATCGACAGGAGAACCAAAGTGACTGACATAGCCCGCGCAATCAAGTGGCAGTGGGCGAGGCACATAGCTCGTAGAGTTGATGGCCGCTGGGGCAGAAAAGATCCCGAGTGGCGAGCACGAGCCGGAAGACGCAGTGTGGGTTGGCCTCCCACTAGGTGGACCGACGATCTGGTGAAGGTCGCGGAAGGTGCTTGGATGCGGGCGGCGCAGGAGCGGTCTTTGTAGATAACCTTGGGGGACGCCTTTGTCCAGCAGTGGATGTCTTTCGGCTGAAACGAACGAAATAGGAACACTTACCAGTGAGCGCTTGAGTGACCAGCGCTTGTAGCTCCTTGCCGCCGGCGGGGTCGGCCGCGTCGTACACTCGGAGCATGCTCACGAGCTCGTGCAACACGTGCTGGCGGGTACTGAATCCTATCGGGTCCGAGCTTTCTGCCGGGCAGGGGGATTCCACTATGCTGTTAGAGGAAAATGAACTCAAAAACTTGGCACTATAAGGCACATATTTGCATAATAGAGGTAAGTAATGTAAAATAAAGCATTTTAGTTCAGCATGTACAAGCGGGTACTAGGCCCTACAGCAGTGGTTCCCAAACTTATTTTGTCTAATGCCCACTTTGAGAATAAATTATTTTTAGCGCCCCCATTTGTAATCGAGTGTCGAGTGCTCAGTCGGTGTCTAAGAGTAAATGACGCCTCCCAAGCCTCTACACAACGTCCCGATTGTTTTTCTGGGTCTCTTACCGCCCCCTTTAAGCCTGCAGCGCCCACAAGGGGGCGTTATCGCCCACTTTGGGAAAGACTGCCCTACAGGGTCCAAGCTCTCCGAAGGACAGGGGGATTCCACTATGCTGTTAGAGGAAAATGAACTCTAAAACTTGGTACTATAAGGCACATATTTGCATAACAGAGGTAGGTAAAACTATTCCACTATGCTGTTAGTGGAAAATGAGCTGTAAAACTTGGTACTATAAGGCACATATTTGTATGATAGAGGTAGGTAAAATTATTCCACTATGCTGTTAGAGGAAAATGAGATCTAAAATTTGCTACCATAAGGCACATATTTGCATAATAGAGGTGGGTAAAATTATTACACTATGCTGTTAGAGGAAAATGAGATCTAAAATTTGCTACCATAAGGCACATATTTGAATAATAGAGGTAGGTAAAACTATTCCACTATGCTGTTAGAAGAAAATGAGCTCTAAAACTTGCTGTCATAGGGCACATATTTGAATAATAGAGGTAGGTAAAACTATTCCACTATGTTGTTAGAGGAAAATAAGCTTTAAAACTAGGTACTATAAGGCACATATTTATATGATAGAGCTAGGCAAAATGATTCCACTATGCTGTTAGAGGAAAATGAGCTGTATAAATTGGTACTATAAAGCACATATTTGTATGATAGAGGTAGGTAAAACTATTCCACTATGTTGTTAGAGGAAAATGAGATCTAAAACCTGCTGTCATAAGGCACATATTTGCACAATAGAGGTAGGTAAAACTATTCCACTATGCTGTTAGAGGAAAATGAGCTGTAAAACTTGGTACTATAAGGCACATATTTGCATAGTAGAGGTATGTAAAAAAGCATTTCGTTCAGCATTTATAAGCGGGTATTAGGCCCTACAGGGTCAGAGCAGGCAATGGAATTCCACTATGCTTTTAGAGGAAAATGAGATCTAAAGTTGTTGCCATAAGATCTAAAATGGTACGCAGCGTGGGGATTCTACTATGCTGATAGATGAAAATGAGATCTATAGTGACTCTTATAAGTTCTACAGTGGTGTGTAGTTTGTAATAAAACTATTCAAAAGTACCCACATAGGTATTCATAATAATAAGACACACTTACGCCTTAATATATCCAGTGAGCACCACCAAGTCTGGCAACACAGTTTCCAGCGTCTCATCATCTTCGATCTTCTGCAAATGCTCCGCCAGGTGGCGCCAGTACCAGGCAGTCTCCTTGTTTAGTTTCTCAGCTGGTATCAGCCGAAGAGTCTTGTCGGTTGGCAGCCATTCCAGCAGTTCGGATATTGGGAGACGTCTAGAAGATATATACACTCAACATCAAATAAACCGCACCTTCCGCGACGCGAACTTTAAAGAATATCTTCTGACACAATCGTGGTACCCCAACAATATTGGTGTTATTTGAAAGCCCAATAAATATCCTTAAAGAAAAATACATTTCATTTCTAAATAAATGATTAACATATACCATAAATGTGACTTGAAAATAGACCTCACTTTGGGCTCACCTCTGGGATCAATTAGACCAATTATTATGGTTATAAAACCAAATAAAGATCTCACGTGTCCTCTTTGCAATTAATCCCAACTTAACAGTTTTAAAGTCATAAAAAATGGCTATAGCGTAACTACCTATTTTTTGAAGATGTGACTCTGGATCCTTGTAAAGACACATTTTTGGGGTAAAAACCTTTCCTTTAATGAAATGAAGTTTAGAACTCGGCTTTCAAATGGTACCAATGTTGGTGGGAAGTGGAGATGCATACGTTTGATAAGTGCTTGTCGCGGGAGGTGCGATTTATTTGATGCCGAGTGTAGAAATCATTTTAGTAATGGTGCGTCCAGACTGGGCGAACGGGCTCGCGCGGCAAACTCGACATCCTACTCACTCAATAGCAGGGTGAGCAGGATGACCAGCGTGCCGCGCGAGCACGTTCGCCCAGTCTGGACGCACCATAATAATCATGGGTTGATCGAACTCAGCATGGCTACTTCTGACAATGTTATCCGGAGTTAGGAATGTTTCCATCCCTCTCACGCGTAGTGAGATGCTAGCATGAGCAACAGTGACATATATACCTGAAATTATGTAAACGACGACGCCCTGCTATTGTCAAGGTGCAATGGCTACTATCATTTCGTTTCCTTTTAACACTGTCTTTAAAATGTTGGTTGAAAAGAATGCACATGATGTCCGAAATAGCATAGGAGGCCTTTAGACTTACGACATCGTGTCAGACAAAAAAAGGAACTCTTCAGGTAGTATTACAAGCAGTTAACCCTTTAACAGTCATAACATAATCGAAATTTTCATTGTTTTTGGACCTTAAGATAAGCGAATAAGGTGGAAAATATGGTGGAAACTATATTCCCAATGTCTTTTAAAACGTCACAACATTGTTTATAGCTTGACTTAATGGTGTCTGCTCGATCTGATGAATAAACTGGCTCCAAAATGTTATCTACTCACTTGAACAATGTCTCCAGAAGCTTCCCAGCGACGTACTGCGAGTCTTTGGCGTCGTGAGCGTTGTCTAAGCGTATGGCTTTCAGCAGGTCTATGATGTTGCCTTGGAAAGTGCTCAGCCAACCGGGTACGAGGATCTCTTCGACCACGCGTCGCACGCGCTGACTGCGTTCGGTAAGTCCGACCTTGAAAAGTTAGATAATTATTTTTATTTTTTGCCCGATCCACTGACAGAGGAGTGAGTGAATGAGTGAGAGCGAGGAGTTAGCCAGGTATCACGTGTAATTCATTTTATACTCATTGCTTGAGATAATACTTAAAAGAGGTATGTATGAACGAAGGATAGTGTGAGATCAGAGAAAACACTAGGAAATATATTAATTAGGCAGTAGCATTGTTGGAACTGATGAGCTAAAGCGACTGCTAAAGTAATTTGTTGAATAACATGACTATGTCTTAAACTATGATGTAAATGCATTTGTATTATGTGCGTAGCAAAAGAAAGTTGCTGAATATAAAGAGTGCCGAACAGTGCACACAAAATAATCTTTATTTACAGAAAGAAAGCCCTACATAAGTGATAGAGGCAAATTTTCTCCAACTCTCTGGCGGACTCTGAACTGCGTGACGTTGACGCCGGCTATGTAAAGGAACGCGGCGCGCCTGACCGCTTCATCTACGTCGCATAGCCGCTCTAGGTACATACGGCACGTTCTGCGTACACTTCGCTAAATAATAAAAGGCATAGTTTCCTGTACCTTAAGGGCCAGAACTCTCTGGCGGACTTTGAGCTGCGTTACGTTGAAGCTATGTAAAGGAACCCAGCGCGCCTGACCGCTTCATCTACGTCGCATAACCGCTCGAGAACATACGGCACGTTCCGCTTACACTTTGCTAAATAATAATGAAAGGCATAATTTCCTCTACCTTAAGGGGCAGAACTCTCTGGCGGACTCTGAGCTGCGTGACGTTGACGCCGGCTATGTAGAGGAACGCAGCGCGTCTGACCGCTTCATCTACATCGCATAGCCGCTCTAGGTACATAAGGCAAGTTCCTAAATAATAATAAAAGACATTGTTTCCTCTACCTTAAGGGTCAGTACTCTCTGGCGGACTCTGAGCTGCGTGACGTTGACGCCAGCTATGTAAAGGAACGCTACACGCTTCATCTATGTCGCATAGCCGCTCTAGGTACATAAGGCAAGTTCCTAAATAATAATAAAAGACATTGTTTCCTCTACCTTAAGGGTCAGAACTCTCTGGCGGANGGGAAGCTACGGAACCCTGCACTGCGCGTGGTGCGACACTGGGTTACTGATTTTTTCATATAAATCTATTAGACTCGAAAAATAGGCATTTTATTAAATATCACGTGAGATTAGGGGGGTGGGGGAGGGGGTCAAGCAAAATCTCACCAAATCTCACCTAGGGGGGCGGGGGGGTTGAAAAATGGCCAAAATTGTCTCACGTAATTTATGGACGCCCCCTTATTGCAATGTTATTAGGCCTGAAATAAATGAATTAAATTTTTTATTTAACTTCAAGTATCATCAGCAAGTTTACTCATATTTTCAGCAACGATAAGTATTACTCGTATTTTTATAAAGTAACAGAAGCACATAATAATTAAATAGTTTACTTACTTGAGATGCAAGCAGTTTATCACATAGATCATCATCAAGAGAGGCATCTTCTCCCAAAGCAGAGAGCACAGCCGCCAGCAGCTGACTTGCCCGGTAACGCACAGATTGGCCGGATACGCACTGACACTATCAAGGAAATAAATTGTTGAAGTTACTTTTCAATAGTTCACTCAGAATTCAGCCTCAATGTGTCATTGTTTCATCCATCATCAATGGCTTCTGAACTGAATTTAAGTCACAAGCATTTCCAGTTATTAAATAATCTCTAATTGACATGACAATGGATGGAAGTGTTTACAAAAGTAAGTTTTATTCATTCAACTAGTAAATTATTTATAATTCAGGTTATCTATTTAACTCAAACAATGAATGTTTTAGCTAAACTTTTGTGGTAAGAACTGAACAACCATCTGCAAAAACTTACATCAAAAATGATGTCACAAATGAACATCAAAAACTCTTCTTCGTCATCCAGAGAGGTGGAAAAAGTGGCCACAAACTGGATAACCCGGTCCACATTGGCACTGGTGTCTCCAAATGTAAACAAATAGTGTAATGCATTCTTGAAGCTTTCACGGAATTCATTTTCGTCCAACTGAAAGATAAAATGAATTTTATTGCTTAATAGTTATTGTAAGCTTTACTAATAAACATAGGAACCTAGAAATTAAAGATAATTACGATTATATTACTATAATATGTTTTCATTTAGGCCTTTAGGCAGTCAATCAAAGCAAAAGTGGATAAAGTCAACATACCTTTTTGTAAAGTTTTATCATTTCCTTGACATACTTTTTGTGCTGTACTACATTATATTGCACATTTTGAAATATTTTAAATATTATCGGGTTATTACGAGGGTTTGGTTTCACAGCAACCGCTGGTTGAACCTCGGAGTCTTTTGGCGGCATTGTGTTTATGAGAAGCGTTCACTTGGAGTTAACTAGAAATAAGTGGATTAACAGATTAATATCCTATTTTTTTCTACACACTGACACAAACAGTTAATTTCATAACTTTAGAAACAATAATGTTTACAATTTTTACAATCGCAACCGTTGAAATTGAAAAGCTCCTTTTCAAATCATCTCGACACAACTGATGACAACTGACAGATGTGTGTGTGACAGTGACAGATTACCTACCTCTGACAAGTATGACAGACAATGACATGATAGTCTCAGAGGATACCATACCCTCAATGTAAATTAGCGCCATCTATTAATTATGCTAATCAACTTAACTAAAATAGATGGATGGACGTAATATTTATTTTTCAAAACTTTTTTCTATTTTAATATTGTACGATATATCAAAAATCCAATTTAAAGTAATAATTATTAGTGTCCGACCGAAACTAGTTTTACGACCGAAACCGAAACCGAAAACGAATTTCGGCAACGGTGTCTATTTCGGCCGAAACCGAAACCGAAACCGAAACTTCCTTACAAGGCTCATATTTTTAGGGAAAAATAAAGAAAACGTTATTATAATCAGTCAGTCTTTATAGTTTTCTCTTTAATTTGCATTAAAATTGAACGTATAAAGCGCCTTTTTACTCTAAAAGGTATCAAATTATGTATTAAAAAAGAAAAAGAAGGATATAGTCTAGATTTTTAGGGTTCCGTAGCCAAATGGCAAAAAACGGAACCCTTATAGATTCGTCATGTCTGTCTGTCCGTATGTCACAGCCATTTTTTTCCGAAACTATAAGAGCTATACTGTTGAAACTTGGTAGGTAGATGTATTCTGTGAACCGCATTAAGATTTTGATGCAAAAATAAAAAAATAATAATAAATCTTGGGGGCTCCCAATACTTAGAACTGAAACTCAAAAATTTTTTTTCATCAAACATACGTGTCTGTGCCATGTTGTGAGACCGTATGAATGAGACACGGGTTGTAGTTAGACTCTGATACTAATCTGTTTATTAACGCGAACTGCATGTATATTTATACGATATAGATTATAGATAAATGACGTCACAGCATCAGCACTATACGTGATAAATGTGCTGACACTGTGAACGTGATCAAGATAAGATATGAAGAGATTTAGTATTGTGCATACCGGCACAGTACTCCCCCCCTTTAAATAAGAAAAAAATTGAATAATGCGCTAACTACAATAACATACATAAATTATCTACGTTAATACTCTACATATTTACATACAAGAAATAAAAATAATGTGCTAATTAAATACAAATTACAATAACTATCTACGTTATACAAATCATGTGGTGAAAAATAGTGAAATGTTTATAAAGATGAGAATGTAACAAAATATAACCACTGGCTTCTTCCTTATCTGGCGTTTTCACAGTCGTGGGTTGCCCTCGCGCAAGCTCGGCTTTACGCGATAGGTGCNTACGTACGGCACGTTCCGCGTACATTTCGCTATGGACATCACTACCGCTCTGAAAAAGATAATTATTATGCTTAAAACAAAGCTGGAAATATAAAAAGGCAAAGACACCAGTGCTATTTGAACAATCAAGTGGTAGTACTTTATGAACCACCACATTTATCTGACATGGTTCAATCAGACCCAAACTTATTCTAACTCTCTAAAGAAATTGCGTACATAATGTTTGGTTGTTTTCAAAGATATTTAGGATTATTAAGTAACTCATCATGGGGCTGGCTAGTATGACGTCTATTGTCTATCTATATTAAGAGAGCAGTTCATTTGTTTCAGCCAAATGACATCCACTGTTGGACAAAGGCCTCCTCCAAGGTTTTCCACAATGAACGAATGGTCCTGCGCTGCCCGAATCCAGGCTCTTTCTTTAAGAGAACAGTGCCTATTTATAATACCTTCTAACAGAAGAACTAGGGTCACAGCTCATGTGGAAGCGGTAGGCACGAGTGACCTCATCATCTGGTTCCATCGGGTTCTGCAGACGCTGCAACGCTAACGCCGCGCGACACCGCGCAGCGCCGCGCTTGTCTTGCAAACGCTGCATCTACTATTGTTAAAGTAAGATAGTGTAGTCCAACTTAACACTAAATTACCTTCTGACTGAAGAACTCGGGTCACAGCTCATGTGGAAGCGATAAGCACGCGTGACCTCATCATCTGGTTCCATCGGGTTCTGCAGACGTTGCAATGCTAACGCCGCGCGACACCGCACCGCGCCGCGCGTGTCTTGCAAACGCTGCATCTGATATTGGCAAAAACAGAAAAGACAATGTAAAGATAATATTTCATTACTAGATAATTATCTTATACAGAGGTCTTATTTATTATTAACTATACTAATCATAACAAATGAAAAAATCAATGTAAAAAATATCAAAACACAATCTCCATGGATTATTTTGATATAAATTTAATTTCATAAAAAAAAAATACTTTGCTTAACTTCTTTGATTAAGAATTAAAATGAAAGTCATTTTAATTCTTATTGCAATTTTATTAGGCCTGAAATAAATGAATTAAATTTTTTATTTAACTTCAACTATCAGCAAGTTTACTCATATTTTCAGCAACGATAAGTATTACTTGTATTTTTATAAAGTAACAGAAGCACATAAAAATTAAATAGATTACTTACTTGTGATGCAAGCAGTTTATCACATAGATCATCATCAAGAGAGGCGTCTTCTCCCAAAGCAGAGAGCACAGCTGCCAGCAGCTGACTTGCTCGGTAACGCACCGATTGGCCAGATACGCACTGACACTGTCAAAGAAATAAATTTTTAACATTACTTTTCAACAGTTCACTCAGAATTCAGCCTCAATGTCATTTCATCCATTTTTCACATTCCATCATTGTTTCATCCACCGCCAATGGTTTCTGAACTGAATTTAAGTCACAAGCATTTCCAGTTTTTAAATAATCTCTAATTGACATGACAATTGAAGTGTTTACAAAAGTAAGTTTTATTCATTCAACTAGTAAATTATTTATAATTCAGGTTATCTATTTAATTCAAACAATAAATGTTTTAGCTAAACTTTTGTGGTAAGAACTGAACAACCATCTGCAAAAACTTACATCAAAAATGATGTCACAAATGAACATCAAAAACTCTTCTTCGTCATCCAGAGAGGTGGAAAAAGTGGCCACAAACTGGATAACCCGGTCCACATTGGCACTGGTGTCTCCAAATGTAAACAAATAGTGTAATGCATTCTTGAAGCTTTCACGGAATTCATTTTCGTCCAACTGAAAGATAAAATGAATTTTATTGCTTAATAGTTATTGTAAGCTTTAGTAATAAACATAGGAACCTAGAAATTAAAGATAATTACGATTATATTACTGTAATATGTTTTCATTTAGGCCTTTAGGCAGTCAATCAAAGCAAAAGTGGATAAAGTCAACATACCTTTTTGTAGAGTTTTATCATTTCCTTGACATACTTTTTGTGCTGTACTACATTATATTGCACATTTTGAAATATTTTAAACATTATCGGGTTATTACGAGGGTTTGGTTTCACAGCAACCGCTGGTTGAACCTCGGAGTCTTTTGGCGGCATTGTGTTTATGAGTAGCGTTCACTTGGAGTTAACTAGAAATAAGTGGATTAACAGATTAATATCCTATTTTTGTCTACACACTGACACAAACAGTTAATTTCATAACTTTAGAAACAATAATGTTTACAATTTTTACAATCGCAACCGTTGAAAAGCTCTTTTTCAAATCATCATCTCAACCAGGGTGAAGAAACTTCCATACAACGGTCATCGAAGTGAAACTTGCTTCCAAACAGCGACATCGGTGAATAAATTCAAATACTTTTTAACTACCCTAAAACGCTCTAGATGTCGCTGCTCCTGTTTCCTTCATATTTTCATTTTTTTCTTATTTAAAATATATTTGAGAATAGTGTTAATTACAATGTGAAAACTTTTTTTAAATGAAATTAATTTGTTTTAATTTAAAANCTTCATTATTTTTGTATTCTCTAATATTTTATTAGCGATTTGATTCTTTTGAAGTTCCAACACTGATTCCAGCTGCACAGACGAGGTTGGTCCTTTCAGAAATCGGGAATACGGATGTGACAGGGGTACTGGCAGCGACTTCTCGTGGTGTTGTGTTGCACGACTTGCACGGAGTTGACATGTTGACGGTGATGTATGTTGCTGACGTCACGGATTTTCTCTGCTCAATCGGGTAACCAATTTGATGCCATGTCAGAGATGATGTGGATGGCGAAGGCTGATGCCGAAGATGGTGGTGATGGAGGTTACGTCTCACATTACGTTGGTTTAGTACGTTTATCTTCGTCGTCGTTCGTCGGCTTCGTCTGCGGGATCGCCGGATTAATCTTCATTTTATGCCATCTTCGTCGGGATCATCTTCCTCGTCGGGTTCGTCGTCGGGGTCACCAATTTGTGCCATGTTGTGAGACCGTATGAATGAGACACGGGTTGTAGTTAGACTCTGATACTAATCTGTTTATTAACGCGAACTGCATGTATATTTATACGATATAGATTATAGATAAATGACGTCACAGCATCAGCACTATACGTGATAAATGTGCTGACACTGTGAACGTGATCAAGATAAGATATGAAGAGATTTAGTATTGTGCATACCGGCACAGTGTCCTATGGATAGGTCTTCCAAAATAAAATCGAGGTTTCGTTAGTATCTACTGTGTACTTGCCACTTGGATAACTTGGTGATAAATACTAAAATGAACTTTGAAACTCTGAATCCATAATATTATCACCAATGCTCTAGTCATTACTAACTACCTAACTAATGTTTGTTTACGTATAGCATTTGCGAACCAAAAATATTTTTTTTGATGTTTACTAACCGCTCTTATTGTTATAACGACATAAAACGAGATAAAACTTACCAAATTCAAAATAAATCACTCGAAAACTCGCCACCACAACAAAACAAAACTAACAGCAAACAAACAAGCGAGCGAATTACGACATCGTCTCTGATCGGATTCATTCACTCTTTCAACGCGCCGAACATGACCGATAACAGCGCGGAAACTCCCGAATGCACATTCGGTTTCGGTCGTAGTTTCGGCAAGTTTGCCGCCGAAAACGAAACTAAACCGAAACTCGTGTTTTTACCGAAACTCAACCGAAAACGAAACCGAAACCGAACATTCGGTCGGACACTAATAATTATATTGTAAAATTTTATTTTATTTTAAAATTTATTTTATTTTAAAATTTATTTTATTTTAAAATTTATTTTATTTTAAAATTTATTTTATTTTAAAATTCTACTCATTAGCTTCAATTTAAAATTTGTTTTTTTTACATCATTTTTTGTTCTAATATAAACAAATTACGATTTCGGACCTTAGAAAGAACGTACATTTCATTTTTAAAATAATCTTGTGAAGAAAGATACTTAGTACTAAATATTAATCATAGATGGCGTTGTTCAACAAGTCTTTCTTATTTTCTTTATTCAAATAAGCTGATCAAAGACATAAAATCTATGAGTACAGTACAGTAAACAGTATTTTAAGAGACGGCTTATCTATGTTACCCTTGAAACATGTATGGTTGGCCATGACCACCATCCATTTTAGTATTTTTATCAAGAAAGTATTAAAGTTTTCTGTAATTACATTTTTTAAAATTTTGTTTATTAGTGTTATTTATTTATTTGGTATGTCAATCTTGTCTTGATATAATACAAAGTACATTATTAAGATTTATATTATTTATGTCTTCGTCACTGTCTTCACTTTTCGAAAAAAAAAAGCATTTCTTTCTTGGCGGGAAAGTTAATAAAGGTATTGTAGGNATTCTTTTTTTTACTATTTAGTGTCATAATTTTGTAGCGGTTCATACAACACATATTCCCATCAAATTTCATCACTGTAGTACTTATAGTTTCCGAGTAAATCGGCTGTGACAGACGGACAGACGGACAGACGGACAGACGGACAGACGGACAGACGGACAGACGGACAGACGGACATGACGAAACTATAAGGGTTCCGTTTTTGCCATTTTGGCTACGGAACCCTAAAAAGTTACGAATTTTTTTCGCGGAGCGACGATCGACCTATCTCACCTCCCCCAATGGTCGAAGCGCGACTGACGTTAACTGAATAGAACGCTGTGCTGTGATTGGTTGTTGGTGTTAGGTTTAACGGCAATCTTGTATTATTACTCAAAATTTTAGGTACCTAAAATCGTGTGACCAACGTATTTCGCTTTCTCAATTCAAAATAATTTTATGAAGATATTTTTTTGACTATTGTGTGGAAAGTATATTTAATTACGATGATTTTAGAATATGCTACACACAAATTGAATGAAAATTGTGAATGCAGTAACCAAATGTTTCATTGCAACCGAAGGTGTGAGACGATGAGAACGCGAAAAATGACCCCGTTTTTTATCGTTTCATGTGATTTTTTCGTATTATTTTTGCTTCTATTACGATAAAATTTATTTTGTATGTAGCTAAATAGATATTTTATCATCTGATTTCAAAGTTATTGTTCTAACTTATACCGTTTATGAACTATTATTGTGTGACCATCAAATTTGAGTGTAAATGAGAAGTACCCTTATATTATTTATGTCTTCGTCACTGTCTTCACTTTTCGAAAAAAAAAAGCATTTCTTTCTTGGCGGGAAAGTTAATCTTGGATGCAATAATAGATCCTACNGTATTGTAGGATCTTAGAATGTATTAAAAATCCATAATATAAAGCAATCAAATGTTCGTGATGATGATGATGATGATGATGATGAACGTGCGTAAGCAAGGCAACAAATTATTTCAAGTCGCACTTCACATGAAGTAGGTACTAAGTATCTTACTGTAATTACAACATTTTTACTCAATGGAAACAGATATTAATATGTTAACGTTTGAAAGGCAAGTCGTAGTTAATATTATTATTACTTAGCCATATTATGAACACACTGTATTTGATACTTAATTTTACTTGAAAAACATAACCCTACTTCTGGCGCAGTCGGGTAAAAAGGTTGAGTACTTTGAGTGAGTACTTAGGCCTACCTAACTACTAAAAAACCGCACAAAGTCTAACTAGGTATACGTTTTTAAGGGGTACCTACTTACGTAGGTAAAATTAAAAAACAAACTCGTGTAAAAAGTTTAATCGTGCTGAATATTTTGATAATATTTTAAATTAAGCTTAAAATAGTAATAATTATGTACAAATCACATGATATTTATGAATTAAAATGGGTTAACAACTAATCAAATGGTGAAAATACAATAAAATAAGATTTTGAAGTTTAGAAAAAAAGATCAAAGGTACATACTAGGTATAAAAAATACAAATTGAAGTAGGAACTTCCGAATTTAATTGTAATCCTTTAGCTGAAATTTATTTATGATTGAGAACTAAAATAATTTAGGTATGAATTTATCTAAAATACTATATCAGAACTGATAAACAATAACTTAAACAATAGATACGCATAGTAACAAGTATTTAGGGAAAATTAATAAAGCATGAATTTAGTTTTGTTATTGATAGAAATTTGTTTATCAGGGACCTATCTAAATCGATCGATGCTCACATAGAGTGAATATTTGGGATTTCTTCGAGACCCTAGATCTAGGTACAAAGTAATAAATAACCCACAAAATGATTCTTTCATTGAAATATAAGTTGTTCTCCTTTTCTTTGTATCTTAAATGGATAAGTTTGTCTTATAACTACGTAGTTTAGAACCGTTCACATATCGATAGAGTCGATAGTTTCGCAAGTTCGAAGCGTTAGCGAAAATACAAACACCTTACACTCTAGACCAATTTTTTGTAGACGATGTTACAGTTTGTTGCTGTTTCGTACTTTATTAATCTGTTCAAACCAGAATTAGTTGGAGTAGGTACCTACTACATCAATCAAACATCACAAATCAATTTCGAATCAAATTCTACAGGCAGGCCAGGATAATTTCGGAAAATCTTTTTTAGATACTATCAGAAACTATGACCTACTGTTTGTGAGTTTTAAAATTAACCGGATTTGCAAAACACTGCTGTGAACTGTGAACACCGAAAAATTGGTCACGTGATTTCCTTTTATCCATCTTGCGTTCAGTTTATTCCAAATCTTCGATCAAGGAGTCCAGCTCCTTCTGCAGGGTCATAGACTCCTCCCTCTGCTTGAGCACGTCATCCTTCATGCGGTCTACGTTGGCCATGAGCAAAGCGTTGCCTTTCTTCAACGCGTGAACCCTGGTCTCGTGCCTTTTCACTCGTTTCGACAAGTTCTCTTTCTTGTTTGGTAACGGCGCGTCCTGAAACATGATTATGAAGTCGTATCAGTAACACGTTTATAACAAAAACTTATCAGCTAAAAATTGAAGTATGGGACATGAGAAAAAATAATCTTACTAAGTAGGTATTAAGGTAGGTAGGTATCTATATCTATCTGTGTCTACCGATCCTATCAATCAAGTATTTAGTAAAATTATTTATTCATGTTATTTTATTTACGTCAGGTACCTACTTAGGTACACAGGTGTTTAACTTCAAAAGTTTATTTTCTCCACTTTGTATGATAATGATAGATAACGATTTCTACTAATCTGATAAGTCGGTAAATTAAGTTATTATTATTACTGTAGTAACTTGCAGTTGCAGCCTTCTAAACTCTAGCTCTAATGCTATCAAAATAACATGTACCTAGTTTGAATCAGATAGGTATATTACGGTATCAATAGTAGGTAAAATAGACACGGGACTATTCCCACCTCTCGTTTCCACCGCTGCAACTTCTGTGTAGCCAGGATTTACAGCTTGACCGCCAATAAAAACAGTAAAAATGGTAAAATAGACAGTAGAATCTCGATTATCCGGATATCCAATTGTCCGGACTCATTTTGACGGCTCTAATTACAAAAGGGCCTGTCTGTACCCATCAAAACGGCATCGCCGCCTGTGGTCGGATCGGCATCGCCACTGCACCGTAACACGGTAGGTACGGACGTTTTTTTGGTTCATTGCTAAAAGAAATGGATGTACCTAATGGTCTAAAATGATGTGTATAAAACCCTTTCTATAGTAAAAAGTTAATTATTGTTTGATTTTACTTTGAAATCGATTATCCGGATTTTCGATTATCCGGAATATCTACCCCGGATAATCTGGATTCTACTGTACTGAAAATTTTCGTTATTTTGATCTTTGTTCATCATGACTGAGTGTAGACAAATTATTGTTCTTACCTCTGGCTCGCTCTCGCTCTCAGTTTCACTCTCCGTGTCCTGCTCTGTTTCTGTTTCAGTTTCCTCTTCTTCTGTCTCACTCTTCTTCTCTTCTTCTTCTTCGGACTCCTCGTCTTCTTCATCTTCGTCATCTGAACCGCACTCTTTCATCATCGCTGCCATCTTGTCTACTTCGCATTTTAACTCTTTGTACTTTCGTTTTTCTTCCCTGAAATTAATATGAACCGTTGAAGTTTAACCACATTCAGGCTTGAATGAATTGAAATAATCGCTTAAATTTTTTTTGGTGTGATCCCGTGCTTTAGAGAAAGGCACGTTAGAAACCATTATTATATTGAGATCGATTGAATAACTCTATCATCACGGGCGATTAAGTAAGTAGGTTAAACATAGGTCGCTATTTTGTTACGTCAAAATCACGCTAAACTTGGGAGAGTCAAGAATTAGAACACTTACTTGAGAGCGTATTGCTGGTTCTTCAGGGCCACCTTGAAAGCCATTCGCTCCCTTTTCATATTGTCTTGCTTCTCCTTCAAGTGTCTGATCTTGTTCCTCATATTCCTTATTTCCTTCTCTATCCTCTTTTGTTTCTTTTCCTCGCTTTCCTCCTGTAATATGAAAAGGATTGTTCTCATTCAATAAAGCACATTCAACAAAGCACATTCAACATTAAAGGCTGTTGATCGTTGATATTGAAAACATATCTTTATTGATTTATAATCTTGTAAGAAGGAGGGTTCTATTAGGTATTTAAATTAGCGTTACGTTACCTAACACGTTTGGTGCAGGGAATTCCCCTATCGTACTTTACAACAACAAACAAGTGCCAATTATTGATTAATCTAGATCATTATCTATTTAAATTAGTATGCAAGTACCTAATTATACTTAACTTAATGAAATTTGACAGTAATGATTACATGGAGATAAAATTAATACTTACAGGTTTATGATTAGATTCATTAAGAACACTTAATTTGAGTGAATATTGATTCCAGTCCATAAATAAGTTTAGGTAGGAACTGTAAGTATAAAATTACCTCCTCTGGTTCAGATTCTTCTTCTTCCTCGAAGCTGTCGTCTTTGGTGACAGACAGTTGCTTGATCGCATGACTTGATCTTCTAGATCCAACGTTCGTCGGCATGATACCCTAAAAATCATCGTAAGCCGTTATCAACTAAGTATCATTAGATAATTGTACTTATTCATTTCGCTGTTCCTTATCTATAATTTCAAAAGCCGTGTCCGAGTATGCATAACGTAGTAATTTCGATTTAAATTCTTTGTTATGGTGTACTCTTTTAGTGCATTTAGATTTCTATACATACCAAATATAGCTTGCTCTAACACCGCTTTGAGACACTACACGTTATATACACCTAGATTCGGTCTAAGCAGTCAAGCAAGAACATTTCATTAGCAATAAAAAGCGTTACCTCATTATCATAGTTATAACTATTAGTATAAGCAGCAGAAGTACCAAAGTTGTTATTAGCGTCAGAAGCGGTTCTCCTCAAATTTTCAGCCTCAGGAGAATTTATGTCTATGTTCAACAACCTACATTGCTTCTCAAACTCTAACTGCCTCTTTTGGTAGAAAGATAAAGGTTCTTCTGATAAATACATCTCTTCGATCTTATTCTGTAAATATGTTAGTAAAAGCATTAGTTAGTGCAATTCAAACGTTGCTCTTGGTTAAGTTTAATTTCAATAATTACCGATAAAGCTTGCTCCAATTTTTTCTCCAATTCTGCGTTCCTTCTTTTCACTTCTTCTAATTCAGTCAATGCAGTATCTCTTTCTTCTGCTGCTTCTAAATACTGTTTTTCTAAATTATCAGCGTTTTCTTTTGTCTTTTCGACCTCCATCTTTAGGTTATTGACCAGTCTTTCGTCGTAGGCATCTGTTACCGATATAACTGTTTTATGCTGTTCTTGTTTGATAATAGCTCGCTCTCTTGCTAATTCTGCTTCGAGATTTTGTATTCTTGTTAACAAACGTTTATTTTCTCTCTCTTGTGCCTCCTTATTTCTGCAAGTTTATTATTTATGTAGGTTCATTACATAGGTACGTTAGTTGTATTATGTAATTAATAAACATAAGTTTATTTCTTGTAACTTACCTAAGTTCGATTGCAAGCAATTGTTTTGTTGATTGCAAATCGTCTCTGACCTTATCAATATCATCCATTTCATCAATTTCTTCTTCTTCTGCACTCGGCACCTAAAAATCAAACAGAATAAAGATTTTATATAGATCGGTTTTGTTCGCGAGGAATTGTCGGTGAAACAGACAGACCAACTATGGTTTTTTTCACATCTTTGTATCTAACGATATTGAATGAGTTTATCGGACATAGATTAGATATCTCGGCTTTGTGCCAATTAGCTTATTTACCTCAGCAACAGAAACTCCTGATGGTGAAGCGGCAATGTTAGCTTGAGACATCGACTTCTGTACTTGTTCCTCGATGGTCATCTGTCTCCTGAACTTCCTCAGACCCTCCAGATTTGGTTTACTCCTATCATTTGTTTTGACCTTCTTCAGTTTGATACCTTTATTGATTTCTTTCAGAAGCTCATTGTGGGAGTTCGGCTTCTCTGACTCGAAAATAAATTGATCCTTATTCTTCACTACCGCTGCTCTGGTGATTATGGGGTTTGATCTGTAAATTTTATGAAAAAGACGTGTGAAAAATTTGACTTTTGTTTTATGGATCTCGAATCTTGGTGATATAAATATAATTTCAAGATTTTTTGTAGTTGTTTAGATTGTTTGTAAAAATATGAAAAATATATAAGATCTAAAAAAAATACAGTTTGTATTGTGCGGGGATCGAACTCACGACCGGACGTAGAGATCGTAGTAGCCGAAATCTTAGCCACTGCATGAAATCTGACGCCGATGTTAACCCACAATATTTTAAGAGATATTAAAATACTCATTCACCTGTCATTACAAACTACATGTTTCAGCTTTCTGCCTTGCTCCACCTCCTTCATCATGTCGCTCCAGTCAGGCCGCTTCCTTGGCCTGCTGCGGAGCTGTTCCAGTCTCTTCAGCTTGGTTGGGTCCACCGGCGCCTTCTTGAAGTCCGGCGGTGGCGGCATCTTCGGCGGGAGCGGCGGCGGCATCGGCGGCGGCGTGGGCTTCAGTAAGCCTGATGGAATAAAGTTTAATGTAACAGAAACGAACACAGGAACAAACAAAGAAAATACGAAATATAAGACAGGAGGAGAAAAAAACAAATGAAAAAAGAAAAGAAGATCGGATATCAGTTATGTAGCACATTATGTTACTAGTGGAGATGGAGATTAATCTGGAATGGGACTTAATCTTCGCTAATCGACTAGAATTTTTAAGGTCATTATGAATGCTTAAAAAGGTAATAATAATTATAATATTGTTATTAGGAATTTACCTTGACTGATAAAAAGTCTAAGTTAGTAGAAATAAGATGACGCTAGTTTCAGTAATCCATGCGATTACGTGTACCTTATCATTATACTTAATCTATAGAATCACCGATTAACGGAATTCTGCTTGAACTTATCATTGAACCTGGTGTTGTATATTTTAATGCAATAGATAAACGCATGTTATTGAAACTTAATTTCGTATACCGTTCACATTTTTACATTTTCTAAATTACCACCTAAAAATAATAGTAACCTTTTCATTACCTTTAAATAACTGTCCCTGAACGTCGTCTTCGGCCATATTGATTACACAATTAATCACAACAACACAAAAATATATCACAAATAGTCAAAATCACAGCATATTCTTAGTAATCCTATTAAATCTTAGTGCACTAGGACTTCAACCACGACATGCCTTCGTCGCACCTGATGCACTTGCGACGCGGAACTGGCCAGCTATTTTAGACCGAGTTTAGGGCATAGCCGCACAAGAGATGAAAAGGTAACGATCTATATCTGTGTTCAGACGAGGACATACCGACAGAATGTGCGGACATTAGCAAGGAATTTGAGGACGAATGTGTGCCTTAAGGATATAGAAATAAAATTCAGTTTGTCCATAATAAGCATCCTCTGGATGGGCAAAGGATTAAGCAGCAGTAAATTTTACCTACCAGCAGTATGTTGTCAAGTGTAGAGAAACTTTGTTGCGTACTCTACAAAGTATGTACCTTACATAAATGACTTAATCGAATTGATTATTATGAGAAATATTGATAATGGTCACTTCAATTCTTGGGAGGCCGATAAAATAATAAATAGCACTCAGAATTTTTTTTGATAAATTTTCATGCAATTGAATTCATACGAAACGATAAAAATAACGCTTGATACGAAAAATTATCTGCCGCATTTTGGAAAGCAATTGCATGGTATTTCATTTTATTGGTCGTGATAAGATCTGTGTGTTAAGCAGAATACCTTACAAGGATTTTGTTTCAAAACTAAATATTTCAGGTGCTTAAAGTTGCCCATACCTACTATTATTGCCTTGTCTTATTTGTGCTTAATTATATTGATCTAACTCCTATTTTTCTATAAAATGTAAAAAAAAATATTTTTTTTTATCTCAAGATCATCCCAAGCCCGCAATCTCATTCGTCTCTTACACCTCTACCTGCCAAAGTCGAATTTGATTGATCCGCGTAACCGCATTGCGCGTGCGTCGATCGGAGACGCAATATGCGCTAATTATAAAGTCGGTGGGAAAGTGCTAGTGTGTCAATGTTGGTGTCACACCAGGCAAATAGACCAACAAAGTGCTGGATCTATTCTCAAGCTTGATTCATCGCACTACTCTATTTTCATCAAATCAACTCATTAGTATAGCAGGAAATAAAATACACGTAGTCGCACATGTTGATCTAAATTAATAAATGACTAATAAGATTTATGTAGAGTAGAGGCATACTCTAAAGGTGTTTTGCCTATTAGTGATATCAGTTGTATTAACACCTTATACTTCTTGATCAAAAAGTAATGAACGGTAGTGTATCTACTCGTATTGCCTATGCTATGATATGCGTTAGAATTGTCTTGAGTTTGAATCGAATAGTATTGTTTAATTAACAACTGTAGTTTCAGAATTTGAGCACACTTTGGGTTTGATCATCACTTTCCATCGGGTGAAATGCAAGAGCTTCCATGTTAGATAAAAAATAGGCTAGTAGCCTAGTTGTTGAATTATATTAGCTGAATGAAGTTGGCATTTATTGTCAGAAATATCTCCAGAAAGAAAAAGGACCATCCAATTGATTAAAAAAACTTACTTCTTAAGCTTTCATTCTTGGTAAGCGTGTGTCCCTTGGGGATCTCGTTGGCAAGGGTCTTGTCAATATTCTCCTTGACTCGCTCATGAAGAGGATCCCTCCATTTCTTGACTGGCTCATCTTTGGACGCCTGCTTCACGAGGGAAGGTTTCCTTGGTGGTAGCTGGAATTCGAAGAAAAGTAAAATAATAATGATCTAGATTAAACAACAAACCAGTCAAGAGTAACTATTAGATATCAATATTTTACTTGCGAAAGAGATTATAAATTGGAAAGATCTTAAAACATTTTCTCTTTTAACTAAATTGTTTGCCAAATGTATCTGTAAAGCCAACTGTTTGCGAATCGATAAATAAATTTAAAGATAGTACCTTAGACGGAGTCTTTTCTAGTGGGGTCGGTGGTTTCGTAGCCATTTTGGGTTTTTCTTCTACTTTTTCCTCTACTTTGGGAGTGGCAGCTGCTTTTGCTGCCGGTTTAGTTTCTTTTTCTTTAACAGAATTTGTAGCAGGTTTGTCATTTGTCTTATCGTTCACCGAATTTGATTTTGCCGTACCATTTTTGTCTGCTGATTTTCTATCTACTATAGTTACGGATTTCTCTTTGGCTTTATCATCTATAGTCCTTACGCTTCTTAGTGTGGGCCTTTCTGGTGCTTTATCGTTTTTGTCTTCAGATTTTAGTTTTTCTGCAGATTTTAGACTGGATTTTGTGAATCTTGGTTTTTCATCTGCTGGTCTTGAGGCTTTGTCTGCTTGTTTAGCCGCCGAAGGTTTGACAAGTTTGTCTTCAACAGGCTCTGATACTCCGTTTTCTGATTTGTCGCGTATAGTTGCTTGCTTCTTCAGTGCAGCTGAAAAATTAAAAAACCATCAATTAGGATTTGTTTCCGGTAGTGGGTAGGTAGGTATTTTCACTTCCTACTTATTGATCTCCTGAAAATAGGTTCATTAAATGTTACGCTTGATGCTCAATTAAGTAAGTTACTAAATTGTTTTAGTCAACAAAGACTTATTTGAAAGTATATTGAAAATTATTGTGAAATGTGAATCTTGTAAAGCTTACCTAATCTTAATGTTTTGGATATCGGATTAATATTCTAAAATAGGCAAGTAATATCTACCTATTACTTAAGTGCTGTTTGATAACAGCTATCGTTATTAGTTCAGTAAGAACTGAAGATTAACTAAAAATCATTGTTACTTAGACCATCAATCATGATATCGGACCGAGTGATTTCTGACCAAATGAATTATCTTTTCGTCTTCGCAAACATATAGGTAGGTCATTATTAATTTATTAATGCAATGGCTCTCACTAATAACGAGACATAAGTCTAATCTATAATATTGTATAAATACCTATTTGTAAGACGAATACATGCAAAGAAGCTAGTTATACTTCTAGAACCATAATCTTCTACTACTACTATGTGAAAAATTTGTGTACATTTGTGCGATAGTGTTAATGATGGAGCAAGCTCACATTGAAGATGACTATTCACGAGTAAAGAACATATTTTGTCATTTATTTAACAGTTCGTAAAAATATTTCGATAGGCAAGAAATTTAAAAAGCATTGATGTGTTTCTCTATGTAACTATACCACACAACACATAGTGTCAGTCTACAAAGGTGTAGGTAGAGTCTAAACCCTAACTGTTACAATATTATTAATATTCATGTGAAAATTCACAAAAATAGTGAAATTGATGGAAGCACGTGTCTCGCGACGTTGCATCGGCATTCGACGTAAATAAACACGTTCGCTGCCAAAATGGCGGCCTTCGCTATTTTAACTCCAGAAACTCCCTATTATATGGCCAAGTGGCCACGGCAAATTAACTGATAGTGGGCGAAATTTACCTTTAGGCTACATATGATTTATTTGCCGAAGTCAAATTATGTTGGTGCTAATTTGGATCTGCCAGAAAATTTTGTGACATCTCTATTTAATTGGTTTTGACATAAAATATCAATACCTAAAGTCGCTTTTAGATTCGAAATCACCATGATAACATTGAATGGAATGATTTTGAAGCACTAGTTGCCATAGATGTTGGAATAGGTGGAAAAATGCCTTTTTTTCAGAAATTATACCTAATTGCTTTATTTGTAGAGTCAACGTAATTAATTAAAATATTAGAACTATAAGCATAAAAGTGATCTTGAAACACTTTGTATTTCAGATGCTATGAACACTATATTATGATAGGTATGGTAGAGTCTTCCATATTTTATTCAAACCCGTTCGACCATACCGATGTTATCATTCAAACCTTTTAAAACTTTTTGTTGTGTTTTAACAGAAATGTTTCTTTTCAAAAGGATGTTCTGGAAGTGACGCTAACCCTCGCATAAATCAAGCCGTAATCTCAACATCACGGTTTATTTTGTAAAACTGTGTCCAGTCTAAAAATACGCGGTTCGCCGGCGTCGGCCGCCGAAAATACACACACTACGGCACGTCATGATACGACTCAACGTTTTTCGAATCACTTTACGTTCGTTTTTGTTTTGATTACTTTTTCTTTTCAGGAATATTTTTACGGCCAGTGTCTTGACTTGCAGCTGTTTTTTTTATATGTCAATGCGTATCTTTGTGAAAATTGCTGGCCAGTTTTCTAAATTACAAACTTGATGGATCTTTAAAGACAGATGTTACACAGGTAATTAACAGTAAATTAACCTAAATTATTTAACTAATCAGTTCGGAATTGTCTATCTATCTAATATAAAGGTTGATTGTTTACTGATTTCAACCTGCTGGGTATTAGATTCCTTATCGAGCAATGAACTTTATAGAGATTATATCAAACCTAGGATCTTTAAATATTTACGAAAATGTTTCAGCTAAAACCTTAACCCCCTTTTAATAAAAAGTTACAACCTAATTAAACACTGTTTTAAATTGACATTTCCATACTAAACGTCACTTTATCTGCGAATGTTTGAAAGTGTGGTATCAATATTGCTGAATATCGTCATAAAATAGCAATTTTTAGCTGATTACATGACTTTACTATCAACGAACCTTGATATTATTGATAATTGATATTACACGCTGGCCTCGTCTCAGAGTAAGGCTTACCCTTGTATTAATCCAAACAATAACACATGTAACATTGGTTATTGGTACTCGTAGCTATGAATCATTACATTATTTATTTCTCTACTCATCGAAAGCCAATGAATAGTGCCAAAGCTTCGAAAAGACCCACCTGATATTATTACAATGCCAGTACGAAAACACTTTTGTTTTTTCAGAGATCACTTGCGATGCGCCTAAAACACTTCACTTGTTTTTGAAATAGTGATGGATTTTTTCACTGATTCAAATAAGAAACACACCAACTTGGTTCGCTTTCGTATTCCAGACTAAAGTTTGAACGCTTTCGGAGAGTCCATTATTCAGAGCCGTGTCTCCTGCCAAAGTTTCAGGTGTTTACGTCACATACACATATATATCAACGCAGATATACAGATATAATAATATGCAGTGAAATATGGCTCTGGGTAACGTCAGCAGAAAGGAAGAAGAAAAATGTCGTCTGGATTGAAAAATAAAAGCGTTATTTTTGGTTAAATTGGTATTACCTATCAAGAATGTCTTTTAGAACTGGTAAAAAGCTCATAAAACTCATTTATTATGCAAGTAGGCTTTTAAAAAGCACTTTTACACCTCCCACTCCCAGTATCAACCCTACCACTGCTTCAGGACAGTGCTGAGAAAAAGCAGCTTAAGAAGAAAAACACATAATTTTCATAAGATAAGAAGTACCTACTAATCTCTCTAAGTTTCCCTTGAACTTGACCTGTAAGTACTTAATATGTAGAGCTAAAATCTCATATTATGAAAATTCTCATGAAAATAGACAACTTCTGTATTGTGTCTTGAATGAGTAGGCCTACATACTTATTTCTGTAAGTTCCATGTGTAGATCTGGACTCAGTGGTCAAAGGCTCGTCAGGCACGATATATGTATTTTGAAAACTTCAGTGAGCTGAGTTTACATTACACTAGTGAGCGCGTTTCAAAAATGTATGAAAATTTTAGTTTTTGAACGTTTCCCGCTTGGGGCGCTGTACAATCCGTCATAGTGAGCGCGTTTGATGAAAACTCACACTCAGCCCTCGGTAGTGTAACTTGCATGAGTCTTACCAACTTATTTCTGTAAATTCCATGTGTATGGACTTTACCCACTTAGCACGTGCTGGTTTATAGTGAAGTGGTCATAGTTGTATAGTTTCCCTAAAAATTCAAATAGTTATATATTTTCCTGTTAAGTTATACAAAACGTATAATTATGACGTACCTATTCTACATTGATGATAATCAATACAACGAGTACAACGACCTTCATTCGATTAGTGATCGATGGTTCAGTGGGCGGAGTGTGAGTTTACATCAAACGCGCTCACTAGTGAGCACGTTTAAAAATAATATGAAAATGTTAGTTTTCGATAGTTTCCCGCTAGGGGCGCTGTACAATCCGTCATACATTTAATGTCATTTTTTGACGCGCTTACTGGTGAGCTCGTTTGAAAAAAACTCACATCAGCCGTCGAATCATCCACAGACTTATTGCTTTCGTTCATCAAAAATGAGAGATCTCTTCACTTGATTTGAGTAACAAATTGTTGGATTGGTTTGCCGGTTATTTATTTAGAATCATCATCAGGTCATTCGTCGAATCGGTCGATGACATTCGTCAGTCGAATACGGTCAAATACGGAGTTTGTTTACACTGGGTGGTTTGCCAAATGCACTCGATTGAAAAGGTTAACACCTAAGTACATGGATTCACGTCATCCACAGTGTTTTCAGTTTATTTGTCTTTTGTTTTGGTGTGTCAATGACACTTGTAGGCGCTGCGAACGCGTAGATATCACTCTTTTAATTCAAAATAACAAAATGTTAAATTAATGGAGGAGTTAACTCTAGGGAGTGATTCTGGTGCTAAACTACAACATTTACTATGGAACTAACATCAAAATCTCAATAAAACATCACTATGTTCTCATCATCAATTTTGGTTAATATGGCCATATTATACTGAAAAGAGTGGTAGCTTTCACTTGCCGATGATATCTTTGATTTACAATAAAGATCAGGACCTATTTTATTAAAATGTCAGTGTAACATAACATGATTTACATTGAAAAATACATCGATATTACATATTCTTGGTTATTTACTACTAGCTTGCTGACGGTACACGCCTACACATTTTCAGCAGGGATAATGACGTTTTACGTGACGCTAAAATGATAAGTGCCTAGTTTTTTCTTGATATTATTGCGATTATATGATTTTGATGACATTTAAGAATATACTGATCTACTATCTTTCAGACCAGAAAATTGTTGAAAGTGTAAACATTTTCTTTTGAACGTGGAACAGCTTTCGTTGCAAGTCGTACCTGTTTCCCTGGCTAGCACCAGGGCAGGATGAACTTACAATTCTTAAACTAATTAAATAAAAAAACAATTGTTAAAAAAGGTAGGTTTCAGGTATTGCAATTAATATTTTGTTCTTAATGCATTTCTATATTTAGAACTTCTTACATAGAAGAAATAATAGGTTAAAGCACATAAATTGGTAAAGCACTTTAAATTCCAGGTCACAAAACACACTTTGATTCGCAAAGTTTACATAGCCCGGTTTATTTCCTGTAGCAACAAAATTGGTAGGCATCTGGTTAATAAGAATAAGTTTAAGTAGGTACCACACCCAAATTTAACTATGTTAATTGAATCTCGGTGAACTGACCTATCTTCATCTAAAGCGCATTGACCAAATTCTACAACTTTTAAACTAAAAAGCTTTGCTTAGTAAAACGTGATTCAATCTTGAGTTATAGAGATAAACGCCCGTATTCACAAACATTACTATGAGGTCTGTGCGCGTGGACGCACATGGTGACACACGAACCAATCACAGAGCTCTATTCAATGCTGTGCATTCGATTTGCTGCTTCACTTAAGCAAGCATCGTTTGTGAATACGGGTGTAAGAGTCGTTAACTGCCGAGACATTATCCACTACTGTGTCCATTGTTCGAGGCTCACCGGTGAGCCGCATGGTGTCCAACGCGTTATTATTAAAATTCAAAAGACCAAAAACCTCAATCTATGCTTGAAAAGCGAATCGCTTGTAAGCTGGAAACATTGAATTTTCGGATAGAACCAGTTTATTTTGTAACCTGTAATTGGTACCGTTTGAAAGAGCTCGTGAAGCACTTTCAGGATCAGTAACCGGTTTATCGATATCTTGTATAGTTTAGAAATAATCGAGTGTGATCACTTATCGTTTCCACCCTGTATGGGTTAGGTCGTTAGGTTTCATTTCTTATCAGGAAATGATCAAAAAGTTTCTGAAAAATACCTACATAATTATTAATTATGTCTAGTTTGGAAAATAAACTAGGCGCCATCTTTAATTTTACATAAAATAATTCCGTACGGAGTCTGCATTTAAATGTATGCTTTATATTCTGGCAACACATTAGTAATATTTCGCGTGCGTAGGCGCATATCCTTGGCCGCGTAAAGTGCGTGATACGAAGCCCATCATCCTGCGTCAAGACTTTGGATGTCATAAAAAATAGATATTAACTGCCATTTTACATTGAAAATTACGAGGTGTTTAATAATAAGTTAATAAAAGATTAGAGACGTTTCAATTATATGCTCACACACTACTACTATCCAACGATTTGTGCACCGCCTACACAATAATAAAGTTAGCTTTTACCTTACGTTACATGCAATAAAGTTTAAAATAAATAGGTATCACTTACGTTTCAAAGGCTTCGGTGCTTTAATGGCCGGTTCCTCAGCCTCAACGGTCTTCTCCGCTTCAACGGTCTTCGCCACTTCAACCGGCTTCAACTTCTTCTGGGTCCACGGAGGGGGCGCCTCTGAGTCCTTGTCCTTCACCCACGGAGGCCTGTAGTTCTCCCTCTTAGGCCCTGTCTCCTTGCTGACGTTGCCGATCGGCATCGTGGTGTTCTGTTGGATTGTGACGTCACTGTATTTTTGTTGTGTTGTTAAAGTGTATTGTGTATGTGTGATGTAAGACTGATTCTTTTTTAATCAAAAAGTATATAACATTAGACTAAAGCGCTAGAGATACTGTGGATGTACGAGTATTCATATTGTTTAATGAGAAAAGCTTTCAAGCACAGTCAAGTTGCCTTAATTTGTTTTGAACTGTATCTACTACCTATTGCATGTTTTGGTGTTTCTTTTAAGTTTTATTTCAATAATTAAAATCGAAAAAACTTGGCGCATTTTTAATTGCTTTTTAAAATTTTCAGGTCCAACTTTAAACAATAAACCTAACGACGTCGAACGTGGGTATTTCCACTCAAGCTTTGTGAAGAACTGTGTAAGTGTTTCGTAGCAAGTGAAGTTTCTTGTAAGATCAATGAAAATCGGCAATCTCTTTCAAGCTATGAAAACGGAAGACTGAACCGAATGTAAAGCAAGCATGAAGGTTTTAAAAAGAAAACTTTTCAGGGTAAAATCTGTAGGACTACACACGTTGAAACAATAAGAAACTAAGTAAAAAGCTTCCGGATTCAACTGAAAAAAACTGTACAGTACCTGCGACAGTATTCTTTTTAGTTTATCCATCTAACACTGAAATAGAATTTCAAGGCTTTCCGCCTATTTTCACTTCAAAGTTTTCCTTGGAGCAAAGTTTCTTAGCTGTACTACTTTATCACATCACTTCATTTTGTTTATAATAACTTTACACGAATGTTCGAGCAGATGATTCTAAAGATTCAAAACGTGACTTCTAATCGGATGAAAAAATTATACTATCGTGTGATTTTGAAGAAAATTTGGCAAAACAATCGGCGGGCGGGAATTCATTCAACATTAGAAGATATTTATAGAGGTGCCGCACGCTGGACGTTTGATACGAATCGCATGAGCTACGCGAATCTTTCAGGACTATCTACCGGGCGACTTGAAGATAGTTTTTACGTAAATAAATAAATTAAACTTACAGTTTTATTTGAAAATGCTATACTGAGGTCTATTCATGTTCAATTTAAAACAATTTAATAGTTGTTCGCTCTCTTCAAACTGAACATGGAAGCAAAATAACCTGCTGAAAAAGTTGTGACTATCTTTCGCCTTACTGGCGATTTCGGTCGCATGAAGTTTTAAATAGTTATCTTTATTCTGATCATAAGCCTATGACTTGTTCTGACATTAAAGCTATAATTTTATTTCTGTTATCTAGTTTCATCAAAATCGTAGAAAATTTGGCCTTAAAGCCCTACAAAGCTCGCAGGCCAATTCAGCAATCAACGCATATTGTCGGTCAACTAAAAAAATAATTTTGCATGGGATAATAAACATTTAATTAAGAAGGTAGGTATAAATAGTTTGAAACTGATAATACACCTAATTTATGAAGGATTTTAGGTAGGTATATTCATCCAACAACCTACTTCATTAGATGCATTAGAGTTAATTAAGCACACGCGTGATACTCAATCATTGCGCGTCATTAAACAATAACTGATTTTATCTATTTGTGAGAAACTGTTTTTCCCCTCTAAATAATAAACACAATGACAAATCATTGTACAAATAAACAACATTGACGAATTGTCACTGATATTGGTGAAGACCCTTTAATTGCCTATTCTAAGTAGAACTCTTACCCCTATAGGTACATGACTTACATCATGTAGCTATACCTACTTATTGAATTGACTTCTTAACTATGAATGTAATAAATAACTAATATAAAAAAGATGTGTACCTATTTCTGACGAGTTACTACTCGTTTCAATTAGTTATAGATATTTAATAAGTTCCCTTTTACACAGATCTATGGTTGGAAGACCTTAAAAATGCATTTAACGATAAGTAAGTACTTTTACATAACAGGATTTTCAGCTACACATAAGTACCTTATGTAGTACTTAGTACCTACTTAACAATCATTTTACAGGTTTTTCAGCTGGAGGTATCTTTAAAAAGGCAGCAATTAAATCATAGGTAGGGTTTCTGATTTCTCAACCTATTTTTTTTCTCGAGTTTCGAGAATTCTCGAAGCCAAAGTCTCGAGTTTTCTCGGGTCTCGAGTTTTTTAATGAAAACTGCTGAAATCGGTTGAAATTTAATAAAAACACAGGTTTTTTTAATCTAATATACCTACTTTTATGCACAACAATCAATATTAGAATTTAGTACCACTTATTTTGGTAAGGAAATAAACAAAAAATAAAATCTTCTTTCATAATTCATATTTACTAATATAACAAAAGTCATAAAGTCGCGTGCACTTTAAAGATAAATAACAATAAAAATCTGGAGCTACAATTGAATCACTTGTTTTCTAAAGAACACAAGTCCAAATAGCAAAATTACGATACATAAATAAATTTTCAATTTTTTTAGACTAGTCGATACCACGCTTCCACGCAATCTATGCACATGTCGTGGCAGCTTTTAATTAAGGCTACACTATAAACACGTATTGTTTTCAATGTTTTTTCCAGATAATTGTGTTGGTCTTGTTAGCTGTCCTTAAATAAATAAATAGTTTTTGTTATGAACAAAAAAATATTTTTAATAAATTTTTAAATTTCTTACAGATAACGACTTGAATAAACTTTACGAGGAGGCACGAGTACCTAACCTAACGTCTGTTAGGTAAGGTAACTGTCTAGTTAACAAATTCAGTCAGATTAAACATACGAGTACATAATAAATATAGCATACTCGTTGGTGAACATTATTACTTAGTTTTGATTGAGATCATTACTACTTGCAAATCAAATCAGTTAAAAAAGGAAAGACTAGGCCACTCTAAAAGCAACGTTGACCTATTAAATAATAAAAAACTTACTTTTGTCTAAGAAAATCGGCTTTCAAGAATATTAAAGCTTCAAAACCGAAACTCGAGAATTCTCGAGCTCCGGCAATTTTTTTCTCGTCTCGAATGAAGCCAAATTTCTCGAGTTTTCTCGAGTTCGAGAAAGCTCGAGCAGAAACCCTAATCATAGGACAATTTACTATTTATGCTTAGTTTTTTAGCTCCGTGAAGCAATTTCGAAATTCATTCTGTCACAAATGTTACTTTCGTCTTTTCTTTTATTTAATAGCAAACAAACCTCTATACCTATGTTACTTTGTAGGTAGGGGCTGTAATCTTTGTATCATTGCACGAGCCTCATCAACCAATCACTAGTGGTGTGACTTCATACAAATGCGTTGTAAATAGTGTCGCGTTGATTTGATTTATAAAACGCGGTGCGCTGTTCACACGACACTTGGCAACTTGTTTGTTCCATGTTTTGTTGTGTAATAATACATTTGATATTTTATTAATATATTTTTAAATTATTAAAATTCAATAAATATTTTAAAGTTTTAACTTGTTTTTGTCGATCTTCCTCAAATCTTATCTTAGGAGCTATTAAAGTTAACATAAGTTTAAACTCGTTCACATTTAGACACATTATTTTGGACGGACTAAGTATATCATGGCTAGTTTATTTCTTCTACGATTATGATTCCAGTAGAATGCCTTTATCGTCTAACTGAGCTAAATTTTAATAAAATTATCCCCCACTACTAAGTATAAGGACGAGAGGTAGGTGGTAAATAATAAAACTTAAAATCATATAATCAAAAGATAATTATTATGATCTTGTTGAATTGTTTGAATTTGAGTCTTTTGAAATTCATTTTAAAATTAGTGCCCTAGTCAAATTTTATTTCATGAATTAAATATTAATAACAGCACTAACAGAAGGGCATGGCAATATCACATTCTACAAGGTCATTAAATCATTGTGCGCCTTAATTTTATCTTTTATTGGAAATTACTTTCCTTTTAATTCATATTTTCAATTAGATATTGTTGATAACATACCTACTCCAAATATGCTTAATTACATTTTTTCAGTGAAAACCTGAAAGCTTTTTACATAATTTCCCAGCGTTCCAGCGTATCTATGCATAAAACGTAACCGCTCATTTTATCGTCTATTATTATCATCCTTACAACCTATCTCTTACATGTAGTGTAGTGTACGGTGTTCACAAGTTACGCACTTATTAACAACACACCAACTTGCACTGTGAGAGTCAGCTCGTCATATTTTGGGGTACTATTTTTGAGAGCACGCGCGAAAAACAAGCGAGAATATAAGGGCTTAGTTCGGGAAGGACTGGACGCGACGGCGTTCGCGCGTGCCTTGAAACTAGCGACGGAATTTCATCTCTGAACAACTCTGGAACTTATAAATAGTGCGGCAAGATGGCGGGTTTCGTCTCGAATTCGGGAGCAGATCTAAGGATCGCCGCCGTCTCCACCCGGTGCATTCGATGGCGCGCAGAGAATGTGATTAGTCATTTGGTATCGCATCCGACGTGTTAATGGGACTGAAACTGCGAAAACGAAAGATAAATAAATTAAGACATTCAGAGCTTAAAAACAAGACTGTGAATTACTGATTAAATGCCAGGTCGTTTGTTTAATGGCATATAAAAATACCTAATTATATTGTATGATTATGCTCTCAAGCAAGTACCTACTAGGACGCTGTATTTGATTTGTTATTTTCATTAATAAGTCAATCAGTTTGATTATCCACAGACAGACTGTAGAATAAACTCTAGTACTTTTATTTTACAGATGAAATCAAAATATTTGAACCTTTGTGCTTTCACTTCGGCCTGATTATTCCATCGTGAGATCTAGACCAAAAGCTTTCAAGAGGGTAAAAAATCTGAGTAAATTTTAACTCATCATCAATACATAGTCAAAAGCTTAGGTAGCTTTGATTTTGAATTGCTGAAATTGTTATAGGTAGAGTTCCCACTTTTCGTATCTAAACGCATAAGTACCTAATAACGTAAACACGCATCGACCAACATCCATCGACGCATAATCTTCTGCATAGCATTTAGCGCCTTATACGAACTGCATAGCATCATAGCATGCCACTGCGTAGCGCCAAGTGAATAAAGCTCGTGAAATGGCTTTTTCACTTACCCACACTTTTGTATTTTGGTGCTTTGTAAAAGACTTATTATATTCTGTATCTGCTTTAATGTAGAGTTTTAATAAAAACTATACACGTAAATAAATAAAGACTTTAATAAGATGTAAAGAAGAAGAAGGAAGCTTGTTTAGCTCTTCTATAATTAAAAAAAGCGTTAATTTTGCGTTTTAGTATTTATTCGACATTCTTCTGTCTGCAGTAGGAATAATATGAAATCGTAAACTGTGACACTAAAGAAAAGTCGAAAATTAATTTTTTTCGTATATGTACAAAAAAAGCTCTGCTAATTAGAGCTACAGCACCGCAGATTTAGAACAATATACATATATCTTCACTAGTGACCCGCCTTGGCTTAGCACGGGTGCTAAGCATACATATAATCTTCCTCTTGAATCGCTCTATCTATTAAAAAAAGCATCAAAATCCATTGCGTAGTTTTAAAGAAGCATACTTAAGGACAGACAGCGGGAAGCGACTTTGTTTTATACTATGTAGTGATGAAAAATATGTCCTAGATCACGCAACGTTATGATGCAAGCAATTATCCAAACAATGCATCAGGTACCAAGCATCTTGATCGATCACAATGCGCACCAATAACTCTGTAATGGGCTATCATGTGATTTACTGGCGCCCGTCTTCCGGCCTCGCCTGCTTACGTCAGCGAGCTTTCGGCCACTCCTGCGCATAGTGTTGGCGGAACATCGACGGAACAAAAAACGTAGACACAGACACTTATCCCTTTTTATATAGATTTTTCAAACATGATTCTGGAGTA